CTAATGGCAGTTCCAATCGACTGATCTCATTTACATTCCTTCGACATTTATGTCGAATTGGATCATTTACCTATTACAAATAACTCGTTTTGGTGTGCAATTAAATCTCTTTCTGGTTAAAAGAATATAGAGCACTTTAAACTGGCCATCAAGAGTGCTCAGATAATAGTAGTTGTTTTAAGGTTATTCATGACGAGACTTTCTGCAGTCTTTGTACAAAATGCGGGACAAGATTATAGCTTATAATTTGTGAGCTATTTTATCTGATTTACATGCTCAGAACATGATATGACAATCTATAAGATCACTTATCATATCTTTCAACCGGTCCCGTTTCAATAATTTGAGGAATTTATAGCATTTCCAGCCAAGACTTGTTTTTATTTTTTTTCTTTTTTTTTTTTAGCATTCTGATACAGTTATTCCGAATCAATTTTCCCGGAGAATGCTTAGAATATTTTTAGATTTCAGTAATTTAGTGGAGCTCCACTTGAGACGCCCCCTTCTGGTTGCACATGGCCGTTTGTCATTTCCAGAGGCGCGCCAATTGCCAGAGTGGCCTGCGAAGCATTTTTGCGCGCTCTGTGTGAGAAAATGTGGCCAAACGGTTAATAACAGTGGAGTAGGTTTGGTCTTGAAGGGGTTTTTGGGGGGCCAAGGGGCGATGGGACGATGGAGGGTGCGACAACCGCAGAAACGGCAGCAACAGTCAACATAACTGAGCCTAAAGGAAAAGCGTAAGCAAGCCACAGTTGCGGTCATATTAATAGCACAAAAGATATCGCACAAATGTTATTTTAATTATTATAAGTCTCTATAGACTAGTAAACGTAACAGTAGTGACCGAAGTAAGAGTTTGCAAGTCTTATTACACTTTGTTTTACTTCAGTTTCTGATTAAGCCAAGTGTCGTTAACTTTGGCTGCTTTAATAATAACGTTTTTACTATAAATTTGTTGTTTAATTAGCAACTTTTCCCACTGTCTTTTAAATAAGCAATGTTTCGTGGTTTGAACCCTTTTTTTTGTGAAAAAAAACACATATAAAATGTTTAGTTGCGTATTGAAACTTAAATGTTCTAAAGTTTGATTTATTATAAAACCTACTCTAGCATTTCCACCGCAACTGTGTGTAACTATGTGACTATGTGGAGGAGATTCTAGCGATGGCTGCCGGGACAGGAAACTTAAACTAGTTCTAGTACGAGTAGCTGGCTTCTAGCCGGGCCATAAACTGGGACACTTGTTGCGGCAACTTGGACACTCGATGGCTGGATGGCTGGATGACTTGGCTTGGAGGCAATCAAACTGGCGGCCCCAAGATGACATACAGACACACAGACAGACAGACAGACAGACAGACCAACAAACAGAACCTTCCCACGCAGCAGTTACTCCCATGCCGCCCCTGTCACTCCTACTCCCACTCGCCAAACGCCCGGAAAAGAGAAGCCAGTCTAAATTGTCTTAATGGACCATGAAGACCCCGAGGAGATACCAAGGCCCAAACCCAAGTCTCCAGTCGTAAAAAGACCCTATACTGCAGATGGCGGCAGGCGCGCGTAAATCTAAAAACCGCCCAATTAAACAAAAAAAAATAAGTATAAAAAATAAGGCGACACAGAAAACAAAATCACCAGCGAGGAGGAAAGAAACCAAAAAGAGTGAGAGAGGGCCGACGGCGATGTTGGCGTGGATAAGCCCAAAAGAAAGTTTTCTTTCATTGACAAAAATTTCTTACTCCGGCTGTCTTTTATTTTCCGCCGCGTACAACGAACTTGGCCCCAGTTGGCCGCGGGCACAGATCTTAACCCATTAAGATGCCACGCCAAGTCAGGAAATTCTTGTAAAAACGTGTAACAAGCCTTACGTTCCTTAAGACCAATTGGGCAACATAAAAGAAAACCATATTAAATGGTAATAAAAAATAAACTAGATAAACTAATAATAAATAATTAACTTTTACAAAGCATTTATTTTAAGAAGCTGAATTTGTATTGATTTATAAGCTAAAATAAAATTGAAAAATAAAAACAATATTTAAAAAATTCATATAAATTGCTAGCTAATAAAGATCTAAGAAATTAAGAAAAACGGACAAACGAGCTGACAAATTAAATGCCCTTCTTGATAATCTTCGCTTCAAACCTTTTTATTTTCCTCGAAAGCAGTTAGTTAACTTGTGAGCACCTGCTAATTTTAAGGTTTACACCGAACATAACACAATGTTTTACTCATTTACGATCAGATAAAAAAGAAGCGTGCTATTTTTAGTCTACTTTACAAATGCAAAGTTGATATTTTAGTTTTACTAATTGAAATTATTCATACAGGTTAATGGTTTTAAGCAGATGTTTTGTTTGCCGGTTCTCTCCAACCCTCATTGACGTATAACCCTAGGAAAAGTAGTTGCTTTTCGTGGCCGATTTCTACGTTTCGCGTTAATGGGTTAATGCTGCTGCTGGTGCTGCCGACGCTTTGGCATTAGTTACAGTTTTCCGATACACGAAATTGACTTTACATATTTCAGGCAGCAGTCGATGTAACAGGTTGTTGCTCGCTGTCTCTTTCTCACTCGCGGGCATTTCGAAACGCTGCTTTTACCTGTTGCTGATGTAGTGTTGTTGTTGTTGTTGTTGTTGCTGCTGCTGTTGTTGTTGGTGTGGCAGTTGCAGCAACAACAGCAACAACGTGGATGCTGCACCGCTGCTTTTGTTTGATCTTGTGTCTTATTGTTGCGCGTTGTCGTGTATCTTTCTGCCTGTTATTTGTTGCTTTCCTCGGATACGATACTACTATATAGGATGTACAGATATCTCGCTCCCTCTTTCTCTCTCTTGAATTTATTGGCGCATATAAATGCCTCAAAATTGATGTTATTGTCGTCCGATATTCCTTTTCTCCCTCTCTTTGTCCTGCTTGTTTTGAAAATTGATTTTTACTTGGACTTTTTATGGGCCATCCGTAGTGTCCGAGCGATAAGTGGAGGGAAAAACTGCCGCCTTCGGTTGGGAAAACCAAAGACAAAAGAAGAACAAATAGCCAGGGTGGGCGTAGCGCTGACAAAGTGGGCGTACCAAAAAGAGAATAGAGCAATTTTCGGGATCGAAGGGAAAAAGAGGGGGCAATGAGTTAATTTCGAGTGGGCCGAGCCCAGGGATTTTGAGACGAGTGACGTGGGTATTATACACGTAAAGAAGTAATGGTATAACAGTTATTACTTCAACACACAGTTCTAAAATTAAGGCCTATCTTTGATCCACATTGTTACAAAGATGTTACCATATGTATATGTTTATTGTATTCAGAGTAAGCAATGAATGATTATCTTAATAAAAAAAACACTTATAATTTCGATACTTTATAAATTCATAATAAGATGTATTTCCACTTTGTAATATTGTTAAATACGAAGTCTCTACTTAACTATTAAGTACATAAATGAACCGTGAATAAGCTTGGTCCTAACCAGGACAATGAAATCTTAGTAATTATGCTCATCGTAACTAATGGACCAGCGTCCACAGTGATATATTATAGTTTAACATCTTATCATAATTCAGAACACAAAAAGTTCTGTTTGAAACATAAATTTTGGAAATATTATTAGGCGGTTTAGTAGGAGTATCTACAAATCGAACTATAGTCGCACGAAGTATCCATAAGTCAAACTAATTTTAATGGCAATATAAAGTATGTATATGTACATACATATAAAAATAAATGTAACGCGCAGTCTAGATAATTCGTTTTTTATTTGATGACATAAAACAAATTTATGAAATGATGTTTGTTACTAAAAATGTATCTCAATTTTTTCTCGGTGTGGAGAAACGTGGGCAGGGGAAAATGGCAACTTTGGCCACAACAACTGCAATTGCTGTTGCCAATCTAACAGCAAAACTCACCTTTTGCGAATGCCAGGAGATGTGTTTTTTATTCCAATCTGATCCCTCTCACTCGATCTCTCTCTCTCTCCCTCTCTTGATAGCTCCTTCTCCCCTTTCAAAACAAATCACAAATATTTGCGCATGCGCGAATGCGCATTCCAGGGATACAGATACAGATACACGTAGAGACACACACAGATACAATCACTCCGGCGTTTGTTTTGAGGCTAATTGTTTAAACAGCACAAACTATTCTTCACACTAGTTTTATTTGTTTGTTTTGTTTTTTTTTTTTTTGGCCTCACAACACAAGCACATTCGCAGTGCACACGCAGTCGATTTCGCGCACTCGCTTATTTTTCTTGTATGTATCTTTTATTGGCTCCAGTTTTCGAGTTTTCCAGCCTGCCCTTTTCGAGAGCCAAAAAGACGCGTCGCCTGCTGCGTTTTTGCGAACTATTTTCGTATTCGCACCGCTTGAGCCCGAAAAAGGCGATTTGAGCCGGTGTTCCTTACATTTGGATATTCTTTCAACACTTGCGATTAAAGGCCAAAAAACATTAACAAAATTGACGAAATTATGGTGATTGTGAATCGCCAATGCTAATATCTCAACAACGTAGTTTGGTGAAGTTTACCATAATTTTGTTACACGATTTGTTAGCAGGGAACCAAGTATACGGCGATATTTCTACCGGCGATCCGTAGTTGTATGTTTTTTAAACGGCGAGCGATCACAAACAACGATCGTGGTTTTGTAGAGGTGGAGAAACATCGATGACTTCAAAATATCGGCTCTCGATGTTGTCGGATTTCTAAAGATGGGATGGTTCCAACCATTGTAATCGATATTTTAAAGATCGATTAAGCGGCCAAATCAAATAAACTTGGTTCAGAGCTCCACTAATATTTAGCTAGGACGCATACTATACTTTGAATTTAGTACACATTCAAATTAAAATTTATCTGTTGGCAGTAATTGTTTTAAAACTAAATCAGCTTGGAGACGTTTATGTTTGAATGATAACTATATAATTTATAGAGCTATAGCTATTTTTAAATATATGTATATATGAAGACCCTTTTTTTGAGTAATAAATCAGTTAACAATATATGAGAAATCAAACATTTAATCAAAGTAGTTGGTTTAATAAGCCCAGTGCATTCCATCGCCAGAATTGTCACTATATAACGCCGCCACAGCCATAATAAATGCAACATCCATATCCATATACATCCGGTTTTTAAACATAAACTGATGCTGCGATTCGGGGACCACCTCCATCATGACTGGCCCATCGTCGTCGCAGAATCGACTACCGAATCTGAAGTAGGAGCACCAGTAGACGGTATACCCAATGAGTTCTTTCGTTTCCTGAGGTGGCTGCCAAGTGATGGAATTGTTTAGGTAGTGGTACAGCAACTTCTGCGGTTGATGCCGCTCTGCATCTGTCAGAACTGGAATCTCAAGCTGCGAACCATTAGCCGAGCGACCCAAGGAGTTCTGGCTCCAAATGGAAACGGTGACCGTTTGCTTGGGATCCCAATCATAAAAAACTGCATAATCTTTGCCTTCGAGATAGGCCTTATTGCTGGAAATTAAAGAGCTAATTTAATGGATCAAGTGAAGATATCATAATAGCTTACCCCTTGTCCGTTTGTATAATATAGGTAAAGTTTGGAGCGCCATATTCCACTTCGTCCAGCTTCTTCCAAAAGACGAAAAGTTCCCTCGTTGGCAGATGGTAATTAAAGCCATTGGGTAAAAACTCCGGCGGGCGATTGGGAACGGAAGCACCTACGGATAAGTTGAAAGAGTAATATTCGCTTGACCACGGCGAGTCAGTGAAATTATAGCGGGCCCAGAGATGAACTACATATTTCTGGTTGCCATAAGGAGGAATCTCAAAGCACACATCCTTCGGCCTTACGAAGCCAGCATTTAAGTGACTAACTATACGGGCATTGTAAACTTTATACGGCCGATGGAGCAAGTGCAGCACTACGCGCCAGTTGAAAGTAAAGTCACTATTCCTATTCCAGTGCCCATCCACACAAGTCACTTGGTTCCTTCTGAATATGTAGGGCGCATAGTTCTCCCAAGTCGGCATTTTCACATGGCTACCAGGAGTTGGATCATTTGATGCCCAACAAGTGGACACCAAGACCAGAAAAAAGAGTAAGGACGTCCGCCAGGTCATGTCGATTGAAAGCTATTGAAGCAAGTGAATTTCTTTCCTTCGGCTTAAGCTACTTATCAAACGGTTTGCTTTTGCAGCATCCTATCAGCAAACGAGGTTGAAGTCCAACAAAAAAAAAATATATAAAATATATAGCCTGCAGAACAAACTGTATCGTTAAATAACATTAAAACTGAAAAAACGAATATATCTTTCTTGGCTGTGCATTTACTTGGACCAATTTAATACTTTCAAGTTGGCTTTACATAACTTGGGTAATTTGATCTTGCATATGTACATAAGAGCATAAAATATATTGCAAAAATACATATGTATACATGGTATGTGTGTTATATAGTTCTCTCTAAAAACGTTGTAAATTTTGCATACGGCTGTTAATTAGAATATTTGATTACATTTGAACACTTAAAATCCACCGTCTTAGTTCGCTTACAACTTTAAACCTAAATTCTAGCTTGGTTAACGCGTGTGTGAGTGTTTTTTGTTTGAGTCCGTGTGCATTAATTTGTAAATCTGTTCATTGTTCGTTTAAAATGGTTGTTTAAAATATAAATATCGATAATTTAACAGGTAAAAAGAAATAATTTCGTAAGGGTAGCTCGTTAAAACAAACAAAGGCCAACAAATCCGTAATATAATGTATACACAAGTCGTCTGTCTTAGCAGCGCATGCATCGCCATCTACTCCAAGCGATCATAAAGACCCCTGCTCCGTGACCAGCACAACGCTCTGTTCCTGCGCAATGGCCGCCAGCTCCTTGAGCCACTCGTCCATGAGCACCGCACAAAGGGCCAGGTCGCGGGATCGCTCGGTGCCACTCGTGCTGGCAATGATTCCCATGGAGGCCACCGAATCGAGGGACACTGGCTCGGAGTTAAAGCCACTCGTGGTCGGTCCTCCATCCAGGCCGTGCATGGTGCTCGACGAGTGGGTTGTGGTGTTCGATTGGGCGGACAGGGTTTGGGTGGATCCACCGATGCTGCTGTTGCTGCTGCTCCCAGAGGCCGCTGTGGCCGTCACTGTGGCTCCTGTGCGTGATGCACCCACTTGTGGCTGCGTACTGAGGCTGGTCTCACATGTCCCGGCGGCTGGTTGCCCCTGGGAAAATCCTCTTCCCTCGGCACCACTTCCCACCAGATTCGAAGCAGCTCCTACAAAATTCAAGCGGGTTTAGTAAAGGTTCACGGTGCCATTGACCTCTATGGGTTAATTGTAACAGCAACAATAATAACAAAGAAATGGGATTCCACAAATGTTCATCGTTTTCTACAAGCAACTATTTTTTATTTTTTTTTTGGTTTAGTGGGAAAGCATAATGTACAAAGCTCTACGGGGAAAACGAGACTACGAACTAGTTTTAACAAGACTATGCCATTTTAGGGTTAGTTTTGATTACAAATTTAAATACTTTTATCAAGCGTGAAATATTTACCGGTGAAGAATGCGTAAATTTGTGATAAGCCAGATGAAGCTACGTTTTGTTTGGTTTTTTTTTTTCGTTTCAATAAAAAAATAAAGAAATAAAAGAAATTAATTTATTATAAACGACGCCGGCGGGCATTTTACAGAAATGTGTTTCAACCAAGTACAGCCCTGAATGAGTCCTGCTCATAATAGTGCCACAACAATATACTACATCACATAAATAACTAAATGTTTAAATGACTTTCCATTAATGACAAATGAATTCGATGGCTTTATTTATCGCTTCAGGCACTAATGCAGGGCTGATGTACATATGTGTGAATGTGTTTTTGTGAGTGATGTGTGATGTGTGATTATTTAGACCCAAAACCAACTCTCTTCCAACATCCAACGCTGCAGATTTGTAAACTGTTGGTGATTTCTATGTTGTTTGCTTGGTTTTTCTTTTTTAGAAATATAAAGGTTGTGCAAAATTGTGCCAGAAGAGTATTTCGCCTGCTACTACTCACCAGAGGAGCCATTGGGCGGTGCCATCGACGAGGAGGCCGACTTTCTGCTGAACATGCTGGTTATGGACTTGCTGATGCTCCGCCTCTTGTTATCGCTGCGCTTAAACGGATCGTATGCGCTGGTGGGCGTCGCTTGAACGGGCGTGGCAGCCGAAAGAGTCGAATAGGTAGATCGCAGCTGCCCCGACTGCTGCCCGGAACTTGTGGCCATCTGATGCTGTTGATTGTGATGCATTGGAGAGCCCTCGTTACCCTTGCGCGCGTTTGCCAAACGAAATTCCCGATCAATTAGTGAGGAACGCGCCACATCAATGATCTCCAGCGAATCCTCTGTCACTGGCAGCTCGGCGTCTATCTGTTGCTTGAGTATGCGCAGCACCTGGTGGAAGGAGGGCGTATCCGAGGTGATGGCGATATCGGAGCGCAGCAGCAGCGAGTGGATCAGCGGCAGAGGATACCAGGCCAACCGAGTGATCAACCCGGTGAGGTGAAGATTGACGTACAGCGAGTTGCTCGTGAAGGTTTGCAGTTTGCCCCAGATGGCGTTGAGAAAGGGACCTATATAGAAAAACGGGCAAAATGAATAAAGTTCTGCCCACGAGTTGATTTTTAAGCCACTATTCTTACCCAAGCTTACGGTGCCCTGCGCAAACAAGTCCTCCGAGAAGTCCAGATCCGTCAGTAGCAACTCGTTGCGATTGTTTTGCGACATGCGCCAGGCCTCTCGTCTGCCGGATCCACCTAGCACGCTGCTGATGCTGCTGCTGTTGTGCTCCAGATCTGCCTCGCTGGCTGTGGTGGCCAGCGTTGTATCCGTGGCTTCGCTCTCCTCGTCCGCAGGCCGCCACTTGAAGGATTCGTAGCCGCTGGACTCGCCAATCGATTGCAGACTGTCCAGCTGTTTCTCACCCGTCTCGTTCGTGGCCATAACAGCTCCGCCACCGAATTCGCTGAAGAACTGCCTGGCCAGTTCCAAGGCGTGGGCATGAACTCGTCCCTGCCCGTGACGCGGCCACTTTTGGTAGCGATAGCTGTTCGCCCACTTGAGGCAATCCCTCTGGCACTGGGCAATTCGCCAGTGGGCCTCGAAGAGATACGCCTGGATATTCGCATACAAACTATCACCCGTGTGCACTCCATAATAGTTCCAGTTGGCTCCAATTGTCTTGCTCATGACTGGAGATGGGAGACTGGGCAGCGGCGTCAGGTCACTTACCACCGGTTCGTGGATACTCTTGGGCCGGGCCAGATCCCTGGCCCTCTTCATCACGTCGGGCGAGAGTTCCAGGAAGAACTCACTGCTGTTCAGATACGGATCGATCTTGTTGATCTTGTGGCGATGTGAGATGGGCACATGCTTGCCCGGCAGCATGAACTTGAGCAGCAGTTCCAGCATTAGGTCCTCGCAGTGCAGCCCCAGCAGGGTGTCAAACAGGGCCATCGTTACCATGCACAGATTGGCATCGGGGGAGTTCAGCCGCTCGACCAGAGCATCCAGTATGCGCTCGCCGTCGAACTTTTCCGTGTCGAGCAGAAAGCGAACGAAGGCCCTCAGCAGGCCGGGTTCGGTGATGGAGCGCAGGATCAGGTCCAGGTACGACATGGCCGAGATTTGGGAGTCGATGTTCGTCTGAAAATGTTTGCCCTTCAGTGTCTGCGAAAATGGAGCGCAAAAAGTTGTTTCGAGATTTCGAGGTGTGTGTGTGGTTAGCTACGGGGAGGAAAAGGTACAAGAAACACACAAGAAACGGAAAGCTGAAGGCGGTGCAGATCCCTAAGAGCTGGCCGAATTTCTAAATAAAATATACAAGTCTTAGGAATAGTGTAGATATTGCTCAATTCTTAAAAAGTCTTTGCCCAATTAAATAAATATCTTGTGTATCGAGACCATTCTTACACTTCATTTTCATAATTTATTGAAATAGTGCAAGAACGTATGGACTTAAAAACAATAAGTAACTTTTAGTCTACGAGTAATGGCTATAAAAGTATTCAAACTTTAAATTAAACAAAAAACATAATTAAAACTTAATTTTGAAATTGTTTTCAAGTGCTTTCAGAATTGTTAACAAAGCTGAAAGATTTGGTAAACCTGCCGCTGATAAAGAGAAATCATAAAATGACCGGTAACCTTATCACTCTCTTTTAAGACTGTAATTAAACATTTTATTTTTGTACATGTTTACACATTGGGCTCAACTTTTCTTAACCAATATCTACGCAAATTCCTTATGTCAGGAATGTTACAAATAAATTAAAAGGCAAAGAACAGGACAAATATGATTCGCTTGCAACCAACACCACAGAAATGCATCGAAGACAAATTTTTACGAGAAGAGACCGAGACGGAGACGAGACAAAAGCGTGACGGCACTCACCTGGAGGATAGCCGGTCCCAGAACGGGCACAATGAAGCCCTGGTACATGAAGTCCAGAAGCTGCTGTTTGATCATCTCGTGGGCCACCTGCACCACCGCATTGCAGAACTCGAGGGCGTTCATGAAGAGCGTCAGCTCGGGGATCTCTGTCACATCGTCCGGTGTGATCCGGTGCCAGTCAATGGAGCTGATCTCGATGCTGTTGGGCAGACGGGAGTAAAGCCCACCCAGACCGGTCACCAGCAGGGGGCAGATCGAGGAGTACTGGGCTATGTACGTGCCAATGTTGGAGTTCTTCTGCGAGAGCGCCATGCAGAGCAGCAAGGCATCGCGGGCCTGGTGTCCAAGACTGCCCTCGCGATGCACGTACGGGATGAGCAAGGAGAAGATAATAAAACTGCAAGTAAAAAAACAATTCTTTAACACAGAACTCATAAATTTTGAAGTTTTATCGATACAGTCACCATTTACGCTTGGACTATTACAAGGTCAGTTTTTTTTTTTTATAATTTTTGTCTTATCAGGCTTTAGACGCTGTATTTGGTGATGATTCATAAAACAAATATATCATACTAAAGCTTTTCTATTCAATACGGATGTATATTTGAAAACAAATGCTAATTTTAATTTATAAAAATAAGTTAAGCCAAATAATCTTTATTAAGATGAAATTCAATTCAAAAATACTTAAACAATCTGACCGTGTTATGAGATTCTATTGTAATGTTTGATGCTCACTTGGTTGTGGTTCCACTTTTGGGTGCCGCCACGCTACCGTTGAGAATCTGCTCCTGCACTTGCGTTTGGGCGGAAAAGAAGAAAAGGTCCAGCAAATGGACATTCTGCATTAGAACCACGCACAGCTGGTTCAGCAGGATAACGAGGCGCTTTTCCAGATCGGGCGGGAAAATCTCACCCTGGCTGGAGGCCAGAATCTTGAGCAGGGGACGCAGGAAGGGCTCGTGGCAGAGCAGCTGGTGGCGCGAATGGCTGACGAGCAGTTCGTACAGCTTCAGCTGCTCCAGCCGCACGGCGTTGGCATAGCGGCCGGTGGTGCAAGCCCATTCATACAGCTTGTCCAGCAGATTCTCGCTGAGCAGAAATTCCAGGCAGGGAGCCGCGGGCGGACCACTGGCCTCGGCCGCCGGCAGCGAGACCTTGTTGCAGTGATGCAGTTCGACCAGCAGAAGGGTGACCATGTAGTCCAGGTGCGACACAACGCCCAGGACGTCGTCGTGCGAGGGCGGAGCACTGTGCTGGATGATCTCGAAGGCCTGCTGCCAGTGCTTGCAGAAGCTGTCGTAGCAGGCGCGCGGATCGCAGTCCGTGGCGGCATCGATGGGACGCTGACGTAGTGGTCCGCCGTGTCCGGCTGAGGCAACGCCTCCGCTGCTCTGACGCAGCCACATCGTTCTATAGGTTTTTGTGTGCGATTTGGTGGTGTTTAGTAGCGCTGGTCCGCTGATAACTGTTTGGTGTGCGTTCCGTTTGACATGAATTGGTGTGCTGGTACTTTCTTATCTCAGCTTTGTGCTTTTGTGGTGAGTATGTCAATGTTGCTTGTTTTGTTTGTGATTTAGGAGCTAAAAAGAGAAGCACATTAGTTTAATATTCGCTATTTACTGAAGATCAGCCCAAGAACAACAAGTGCACGCCGTGACACACTTACACACACATACACATCTGCGTACGTGTGCACACCTATTTGGGCATCCGTTGTTGTTGTTGCTGCTCGCTCACCTGATGAATTCGGTTTCGATTGTCATCGCCTTCGCTGTTTTCTGCTCTCAATGCATCGTCTCGCCACGCCCATTATTATTTTGTAGCCCTATTTACATAGGCTTTTACGCTTGCAGCATTTGCGTGGTTTTTTTTGGCACTTTGGCAATTACAATTACAATCACAAATACAAATTAAGTGCTTGTACCAACACTTCCGCAGATTTGCGGATTAAAATCGCGTTTTTGCAGCTCGAATTCGGTGCATTTGTGGCACTTTTTGTTGTTAACAAGTGGAACGACAACAAACCCACTCTCTATTGCATCATTTTTCACTATTTTTTTGGGTATTCGAGTGCAATTTTGAGTAAATATTTACAATTTTATCTGCACGGAAATAGAAAGTTAGATATGTGCAACTGCTAACGAATAATATCGATGTATCAAACATATCGATGTTTTTGGTACTCGATATATTCATTTCGGCGCGAAGTACTTAATTTTTTTTTTTTCATCTTCATATCTAATATAAATATAAACTACTGTTCTTATTAAATTTCTAAACATTATAATTAAATGTTTACTTCATTCGATAACTAAAAGAAAACTAGATGTACCCACTTAAAATGTCTATGCTCCACTAACGCCGATTAATCATCAACGATATTTTCACGATTTGCAATGTTTGTGTGACCAGACCTGTACAATCCAATCAGCTGTTTGCGCGACCGCCATTTGAATTTCCTGAAATGGTAAATAAAATGTTTATGTTTATTTAATATCTCGCTTAACTGTTGCTTTTTAAAGCGCCGCAGCCTGGCGCCCAGCCAACGGGGTCCACAGCGTCCCGAGTCGCGGCACTTCTTTGCGCCACCGCTTCTGAAGAAAAACAAGCGAGCCTGCCAGCAGGATCTGGAGCGGGAGCAGGAGCTCGACAGGAAGCGCCAGAGTGCCCTGCGAGGTGGCGGCAACACGGAGGACCTGCCACTGCCCATTCGCATTGCGAACAGCGAGTATGAGCGGGCCATTGCCAAGGTGCTGGCCCGGAAGTTCAAGGTGCCCATCGATAATTACGTTCCGGATTACGGCGGAAACCGCTGCCTCGGTGTACGACGCTGCATTTCCCGGCGACCTCTGCACGATCCGCTAGCCTGCAACGCCCTGGTTCTATACCAACCACCCGACTACACGGAGCACGAGCGGATGGCCATGGATCCCAGCCAGATCCTGGTGCACGTCGTCGTGGATCCCCTGCTTTGCAACATCCTGCGGCCGCACCAGCGCGAGGGCGTGCGATTCATGTACGAGTGTGTGGAGGGCATGCGGGGCAACTTCAACGGCTGCATCATGGCCGACGAAATGGGTCTGGGGAAGACGCTGCAGTGCGTCACCCTGGTGTGGACACTCCTAAGGCAGGGGCCCGAGTGCAAACCTACGATTAACAAGGCCATCGTCGTGTCGCCGTCGTCGCTGGTAAAGAACTGGGAGAAGGAGTTCACGAAGTGGCTACAAGGCCGCCTGCTCTGCCTGCCTATGGAAGGTGGCAACAAGGAGAACACCATTAAAGCCCTCGAGCAATTCTCCATGACCTCGTCACGCCTTGGCACACCCGTTCTGCTCATCAGCTATGAGACATTCCGCATCTACGCAGACATCCTGTGCAAGTACGAGGTGGGAATGGTGATATGTGATGAAGGACATCGGTTGAAGAACAGCGATAACCTCACCTACCAGGCACTAATGGGCCTGAAAACAAAACGGCGGGTCCTGCTCTCCGGCACACCTATCCAAAACGACCTCACGGAGTACTTCAGTCTGGTGAACTTTGTGAACCCAGAGATGCTGGGCACGGCGGCCGTCTTCAAGCGGAACTTCGAAAGCAGTATTCTGCGGGGCCAGAATGCAGACTCCACGGAAGGAGAGCGGAAGCGGGCCATCGAGAAGACGCAGGAGTTGATCGGACTGGTCGATCAGTGCATTATCCGTCGCACCAACCAGATTCTCACCAAATACCTGCCCGTTAAGTTTGAGATGGTCATCTGCGCAAAGCTTACGCCCATTCAGCTGGAGCTCTATACGAATTTCTTGAAATCGGATCAAGTACGCCGCAGTTTGGCGGGTAATCCATTGATTGTTGTTCCTTCTTCAAACTGTGTACCAATAACCACTTTGTTTTAAGACTGTAATGAGAAGGCCACGCTCACGGCCCTGGCGGACATCACAACCCTTAAGAAGATTTGCAGTCATCCGGATCTTATTTATGATAAGATAACAGCACGAGAAAAGGGATTCGAAAGTTCGCAGAACGTGCTGCCGAGCAACTACAAACCGAAGTAAGTAAAAGTTCACAAGATTTTGTTTTAGCAATATTGTCTCTTGATTGGATTGGAACTCATCAAACTTTATGTTTCAGGGATCTCAATCCTGAACTGAGTGGCAAATTCATGCTGCTAGATTTTATGCTAGCCGCCATACGCGCAGATGGCAATGACAAGGTGGTTCTCATCTCCAATTACACACAGACCCTGGATTTGTTTGAGCAGCTGGCGAGGAAGCGAAAGTACGGATTTGTTCGACTTGATGGCACTATGTCCATCAAGAAGCGCTCAAAAGTGGTTGACCGGTTTAATGACCCGGAGTCGGATAGCTTCCTTTTCATGCTGAGCAGCAAGGCCGGCGGCTGCGGATTGAATTTGATCGGAGCCAACCGGCTGTTTATGTTCGATCCTGACTGGAATCCGGCCAACGACGAGCAGGCGATGGCCAGAGTGTGGCGCGATGGGCAGAAGAAGCCCTGCTACATTTATCGCCTTGTAGCGGTAAGCATCTCAGGTACTTCTCTTAAAAATTTCGAAATTAAACTGGAGAAATTTATTTTTTTAGAGTGGTTCAATTGAGGAAAAGATCTTGCAGCGGCAGACGCACAAGAAGTCGTTGTCCAGCACAATTATTGACAACAACGAATCAGCCGAAAAGCATTTTACTCGCGACGACCTTAAGGATTTGTTCACATTTGATGCGAATATTCTGTCCGACACGCACGACAAGTAAGAATTTTCCTTTTTTATCCTTTTAAAATTAATTTCCAATGTTCTTTTTAGACTCAAATGCAAACGATGCGTACAAAACATCCAAACTAAGCCCCCGCCCGATGACAGCGACTGCACCTCGCATTTGTCCCAGTGGTTCCATTGCTCCAACAATCGAGGTCTGCCCGACAGTATTCTCGCCCAGGCCTGGACGGACAGCAAGTGCGTCTCCTTTGTCTTTCACCACCGGTCACAGGCACATGAGATTGTGGCAAAGCCGGAGGAGGAACCATTGGAGGAAAAACCAGCTAGTCGGAAACGTCCATCTACGCCCCTCAGTGATGACAGTGCTGACGAGGACTTCATTGGATTCTAAAAATTGTTGGCTGAACTTTGTTTATTCTTGCAATTGTTTGCATTGTTTATTGTTTATCAATTTGCCCAATTTCGTTTACTTAAGTCTAGACTTAAGATAATTTTCTGGCTTCCTTCGCAATCTTAACAATTAAATAGTGTAACATTTCAAAAATGGAACCAGCACAAAATGTAAACGTGCTAGAGATAAAAGCTCTTTTGAACAAATCTGGCAAACTAAAAATCAGTCCAGAAAATGGGATTATTCTTTTGTGAAATACTGATTAATTTTCATAATATTCAGTGGCCGTCAATTATACATTAGTCAAATCGTAGTTTTAAATAGATCAGTACAAATAAACTTCGCACAGATAGGAGTTTGGAAAAATTCGGGTTTTAAAGTGGATTGATTTGTTGAAGCGCATTATCATAGTTGTTATAAATGAACAGCCGTATCGCTAGCACGTTATTCTCTGCACATAAAAAGCAACATAGCATATAGCAACGTCTGGATTAAAACCCTGTCATATACAGATTAGTATAATGTGGTTGTGTATATAAGTATTAAACCATTCGCAGTGTTAACACAGTCAATTGAACACTTGATGTATTCGGGTCTAGGAGCTATACATCAATAATTTTATGCTCCAGCTCTACCCAGACATTGCTCTTCTCCGGCGCCTTTTGGAGCGGCGACGGCTCCTGCTGCAGCTCGGCCAGAAATCCCCCGATAGCCTGATAGTACCTAAAGAGCAACCAATGGATAATAGGAAATAAAGAATGTCATCCAGGCCATACCCGTCTACTATCCAAGTGTCGTTGTGCGATCCTCCGGGGAACTCAAGCAAGCGCTTCAGCTCACTGCCGCATTTGGTATACAAGGCACGCATCATGCGCGGTGGCACTAAGTTGTCCGCAAGGCCGGATATAAATAAAAACGGAACCGAACACTTGCCTATCTTGCTCACGGACTGGTACTGCAGGTTGATAAAAAAAATAAGTTCGGATTTTCAACTTTATAGACCTCAGACCTACCTTATTCTTAAACAATAGATTTGGTATATACTTCACAGAGGGATGGACCAGCTCCACGGCCATTTCTGGTATGCTGCTAAATGTGTTCTCCACAATGGCGCACATTAGTTTTTGGCCATACACGGTATCGGCGGCCACGTCGACGACCACGGCTCCGCCCAGGGAGCGCCCGAAGAGGATCAGCTGCGAGTGGTCCAGGTCGTGGCGGGTGTGCAGGTAATCAATGGCCGCCCTAGCATCAGTTACCAGGCCCCTTTCAGTGGGCACACCGGTCGACAGGCCGTACCCGCGGTATTCCACCATCAGAATGTTGCAGTGCAGGTGGTGGTAGATGCCCCAGACCTAAGGAATAAGCCATAGTGTTGTAATAGGGAATTTCTAGCCAGTTAAGAGCCTCCACTAACGTTCTGCATGCGGTGTCCCATGTTGCCAGCGTTGCCGTGGAAGTAGAGCAACGTGGGCACCGACTTGGAGCGCTCCTCCGGCTGACTTATCCAGAAGGCGTGCAGAGTGACATCGTCGGGTGTCTTAATGCTGACCGTGATGTGGGGCAGGTTGTGCATCGTCGGAATGGGCACGTAAATGCGGGAGTTGGCCGGCAGGTCCGGATGGTACAGAAGCAGATCCTGGGCGTAGTAGAATATCACTGCAAGGGGACATTTGTAATGCCGAAAGGCTGATCGAGACTAGAACTTACGTAGGATAATTCCAGCGAAGAGCGCCAACGTCATGTAACCCCCGTAAAAGTAGTAGAAAATGAAGCACAACAGGAAGGCTCCAAGTACTCCCACGCCAACGCCGCGGGACTTGGGCAGTGCGATGCCCACTTCTTTCATGTTGGCTTCTGGTCCAGCTGTGCTACATGTCCAATCCTCTAATTTAATTAAATCGCAGTTCCCAGCACCAGAACACAAAACGAAACGATTAAATTGTAATTGAACACCACCCACAGCTGATTTGGAAGACACCTGTGCGGCGCGATAACATATCGATTCCGCATTACAGTAAATACTCGATATCAGTTAACCCATAAGCGGCTGGAATAATGAGAACACTGATAATATACAATTTTTTTTTCAACATTTTATGAATATTCATAAAGCTCAAGTTGGAACATTTACTTAATGACATTAGTTTTATTTATGTTAGAATTTTGGCTTTTCTTATTTATTTAGTTTTTTTTTTTTTTAATAAATTGAAAGAGTATTCATTTTTTAAAGTTTACATTTTTAACAACATATACTAATATTGCGCTTTATTGGTTTTTGGTTATTATAACTAACTGGCAAGCAATATTGAATAGTGGACACCTAATAATATAGGGCTTAAAACATCATCTGTGCTTATATTGAAAAGTTCAGATATATTTTTACCATTAACAAAACGCTGCTTTATTATAAGCTTATATATGTTAACCTTTAAAACCTACTTATAAACATTGAGCATGAGCAGTACAGTTATTTTCTTACTTTATCAATATCGTTATAAGCTCAACATTTTTAAGATTATTTATAAACTTTTCGAATATAAATTTAAAACATCTTTTTATGGTTTTCAGTTCGATAAATCCCATCTCATCTCCATGGTGCAATGCCATCTCTAACTTATTACGCACGTCCACACTAATTCAAAATGGTGGATTTCTGCTGCGTCGCATGAGTAAAACGTGAAAAACGATCTTTTTGTTTCAAAAAAGTGCATTTAAAAACAAGTGGCCTGCAGGAAAAACATAAACATTTGCCAGCGACCGTAAACAAGTGAATGTCCTGTATTTAATGAGCGCTATAAGGCAACTGTGTGTGCTACCACGACAATATAATGAGCCAGGTGAGTAGGCCTTGAAAAAGCTGTGAATATCGAACGTCGGTGTGTGTGGAAAAATCGGAAAAACTATGAATTTCTTCAATCATTCGAAACGAAACCGTTCAAATCAGTTTGATTCTAGTTGTCGTGTGAGTATAAACGTAAAACAAGTGCTACATACGTGAAAAACGCTCCGTTTTGTGGGTGTGGCTGTTCAGCCCCGAAGTCCGTAGAAGTCCCCTCGTCGCGAGACACCCGCACTTTGATGGGTCGCTGTGCGGCTGCTGGTGAAGCATTTGGACAAAAGGATGGTTTTGACCATTATTCCGAATGTGTTTCATCCTTCCGACGATGCCTGAGGGCTCCCAAGGCTTCGACGTGGCAGCCAAGGTGGATTTTGTAAAAATCCATTGGGTACCCATTTTCGCAAAATCTGCTCAAATTCAAGAATTTCGGTTTGTTTTCATCGAATGCGGCTATAAAAATCCTTCAAATTGCATGGATTTCAATATTTTTCCGACCAAATTGAAAATTTTCATCGATTACGTAATCAGAATTTGCTAGGTGCAAAGTTTCCTCCGGCAGATTTCTGCCCAATTTCCTGGGGATTTTGACCCCGCCAAAAGGTAACCGGCAAACTATTTCATTGAATTCCTCTTCGTTTTATCAGGAATAATTATTAAAAATAATTTTCCCCTAATTAACAATCCTGTTTCCATAGTTTTTTGCTATTTTCATAGAAAGATCGTGTCCAGGAGACCGAAAACCCACTTGTTTTAAAGGATTTCCGCGTTTTTTGTTGTCCAGGAGATGTGTCTTGTGATAACCCCTTTCCGTGTAAAGAAGTCATGTGATCCATCCGTGTCCAGCTCTGTACCATGATTGTTTTTAGATTTTTTCTTCATTTTTTATCATTAAAGGTGGCTAAAAACAATTTCTGGAGAGGATTTGCTCTGTGGAAGTCATTACAGTGCTCTATACTAAATGTTTTTCCCTCGGTTTGATTGTGTAGCCTGTCTTCTAGTGCTCAAGTCGTTCATTTTCGAAGTTAATCGTGTATTTGATACAAATTTGCAGTTTTTAAAGTAAGACCATAATCTTGAGAGGATTAGGGTTGATTCTTCTTCTAAAATGCCCGCACTAGTCTTGCATAATAGTTCTCAGGCAAAGTTTGTTTGTGCACTTACCTTGAAGACAAAAAAAGGAACCATTACACCTTTTCAACAATGTTTGATACATTTTAAAACAATACCTGCGATTTCTTGCCAGGATTGGCCGGCCCACACCCCGTGTTGATACTTGAACCTCTTTGTTTCTCGCGATTACCTGATACCAAGAAATTTACCAGCAGCCTAGACTGATTTCACCTTTAAATTCTTTTTTAACGGCCAGGCACTCAATGAATCGGCGAATAGTGTTGGCTCAGACGAACAAGATGACACTCGGGACGAGACCAATGGCACCGACCATAGTGGCAGTGGCAGCGGTAGTGGCTCCTCTGGTTCCGACTCTGACTCGGACAGCTCCTCGGGCAACTCCAGCGATGGACGCAGTTCCCCGGAGCCGGAAAACAAACCCTTGTCGGTGGCAGGGTTTCCACCCACAGCCGCGGCTGCCCAGGCGGACAGCAAGACGAACGGATTCACAGACGACCAGGAGGACAGCTCCAGTGACGGGTCCAGCGGCAGCGATTCCGACTCGGATGCCGAGGGACCAGCAAATCAAAGGGACCAGAGCAACAGCAATGCCAATACCAGCAGCAGCTTGTCTAAGCCGGAGCAGGATGAGGAGGAGGAGGAGGACAATGAGACTGAGGCTGCTCCGCAGCAGCCAGCCAGCGATGCCTCTGCCGACGAAGGAAGTGATAGTTCTGCCAATGTTTCGCCCACATCCTCCAGCAGCAGTAGTGTAAGTCGGGATTCGCGTATCGATCTTTAAATGTTCCTAACCTTTCTCCGTACAGGAGGAAGAGGAGGAAGACTACAGACCCAAGAGAACTCGCCAGGCGCGCAAACCACCGACTGCAGCAGAGAAACCCAAGAAAGCTCCTGCCCCCAAGAACAAAAAGAAAACGTGAGATTGTCAGCTTCCCTTTTCCAAATCTTTTTGCCAAAGCATTCGTTTTAATTTGCCAGCTGGGACTCCGACGATAGCGACGAAAGCGAGGACAGTGATGAGGATGTGTCCGCCGCCCAAAAGCGTAAACCAGCAGCCACAACCTCCCGAAGCAAGCCCACACAGCAGCAGCAGCAGCGACGTAGGGTAAAGTCCTTCAGTTCCGAGGACAGTGATGACGACGATGCCAGCAAACGGTAATGATCCAGATCCTGATGCTTCATTCCTTTTCCTGATCCACGTTCTTCTGCTTTGACCAGCTGTGCTACCCGTCGCACGGCCGCTGCAGTTAGCTACAAGGAGGCATCCGAGGACGAGGCCACCGACTCTGAGGATCTGCTTGAGTTTGAGTACGATGAGAGTCAGGCAGCCACCACTGCCGCTGCAGCCGAGGAAGAGGAGAAGTGCGAGACCATCGAGCGCATCCTGGCCCAGCGAGTGGGCAAAAAGGGATGCACCGGCAATCAGACAACGATCTATGCGATCGAGGAAAATGGCTTCGATCCAAATGCTGGATTCGATGAGAAGCAAAGCTCAGACGGGGAGGCCGAAACCCAGTTCCTGATCAAGTGGAAGGGCTGGTCGTACATCCACAACACCTGGGAATCGGAGACAACCTTGCGTGAAATGAAGGCCAAGGGCATGAAGAAGCTGGACAACTTCATCAAAAAAGAGCAGGACCAGGCCTACTGGCGGCGCTATGCCGGACCCGAGGACATCGACTACTTTGAGTGCCAGCTGGAACTGCAGCACGAGCTGCTTAAGTCGTACAACAACGTAGATCGCATCATTGCCAAGGGCTCAAAGCCGGATGACGGCGCCGAGGAGTATTTGTGCAAGTGGCAGTCGCTACCCTACTCCGAGTCCACTTGGGAGGACGCCGCCCTGGTGCTGCGCAAATGGCAACGCTGTGCGGAGCAGTTCTCGGAGCGGGAATGCTCCAAGTGCACACCCTCCCGCCACTGCCGAGTGCTCAAGTATCGCCCGAAGTTCTCACGAATCAAGAACCAGCCGGAGTTCCTCTCAGCGGGCCTGACACTCAGAGACTACCAAATGGACGGCCTGAATTGGCTGCTGCACTCGTGGTGCAAGGAAAACTCCGTGATCCTGGCCGATGAGATGGGCCTTGGCAAGACCATCCAGACAATCTGCTTCCTGTATTCGCTGTTCAAACTGAACCATCTGTACGGACCGTTCCTGTGCGTTGTGCCGCTGAGCACCATGACGGCATGGCAGCGAGAGTTCGACCTGTGGGCTCCGGACATGAATGTGGTAACCTATCTGGGCGACATTAAGTCACGCGAGCTGATCCAGCAGTACGAGTGGCAGTTCGAGGGCTCTAAGCGACTCAAGTTCAATTGCATCCTCACAACATACGAGATTGTGCTGAAGGACAAGCAATTCCTGGGTACACTCCAGTGGGCTGCGCTGCTGGTGGACGAGGCGCATCGCCTCAAGAACGACGATTCGCTGCTGTACAAGTCGCTCAAGGAGTTCGACACCAACCATCGGCTGCTTATCACTGGCACTCCGCTGCAGAACTCATTGAAAGAGCTCTGGGCCTTGCTGCACTTCATCATGCCGGATAAATTCGACACGTGGGAGAACTTTGAGGTGCAGCACGGCAATGCCGAGGATAAGGGCTACACACGTTTGCATCAGCAGCTGGAGCCGTATATACTGCGTAGAGTGAAAAAGGACGTGGAGAAGTCGCTGCCAGCCAAGGTGGAGCAGATCCTGCGCGTCGAGATGACTTCGCTGCAAAAGCAGTACTACAAGTGGATCCTTACCAAAAACTTTGATGCCCTGCGAAAGGGAAAACGTGGCAGCACTTCCACTTTCTTGAACATAGTCATCGAGCTAAAGAAGTGTTGCAACCACGCTGCCCTTATCCGACCCTCGGAATTCGAATTGATGGGCCTGCAGCAGGATGAGGCACTGCAAACACTGCTGAAGGGATCCGGAAAACTCGTGCTGCTCGATAAGCTTCTCTGCCGGCTGAAGGAGACGGGCCACCGCGTTCTGATTTTCTCACAGATGGTGCGCATGCTGGATGTCCTGGCTGATTACCTCCAGAAGCGTCACTGGCCGTTCCAGCGACTCGACGGTAGCATTAAGGGAGAAATGAGGCGTCAGGCCTTGGATCATTTCAATGCGGAGGGCAGTCAGGACTTCTGCTTCCTCCTCTCCACAAGAGCTGGTGGATTGGGCATAAATTTGGCCACCGCCGATACGGTGATTATCTTCGACTCTGACTGGAACCCTCAGAACGACTTGCAGGCACAGGCGAGAGCCCATCGCATTGGACAGAAGAACCAGGTCAACATTTATCGCCTCGTCACCGCCAGATCCGTGGAGGAGCAGATCGTGGAGCGAGCCAAACAGAAGATGGTGCTGGACCATCTGGTTATCCAGCGGATGGACACTACGGGTCGCACTGTGCTGGACAAGAGCGGCAACGGGCACTCGTCCAACTCGAATCCGTTCAATAAGGACGACCTGTCTGCCATCCTGAAGTTCGGAGCAGAGGAGTTGTTCAAGGACGAGCAGGATCATGACGACGATCTGGTCTGCGACATTGACGAGATTCTCCGCAGGGCAGAGACCCGTAACGAGGACCCGGAAATGCCGGCGGACGACTTGCTGTCCGCTTTCAAGGTGGCCAGCATTGCGGCCTTTGAGGAGGAGCCCAGCGATTCGGCTAACAAGCAGGACCATGACGCCGCCGGCGACGAGGACGACAGCAAGGACTGGGACGACATCATTCCCGAGGGCTTCCGCAAGGCAATCGACGATCAGGTGCGAGCCAAGGAGATGGAAGACTTATACCTGCCGCCGCGGAGGAAGACGGTTGCTGCCAACCAAAGCGAGGGAAAGCGTGGAGCCGGCAAGGGGGCGAAGGCCAAGCAGCAGGCCGACGACTCCGGCGGCGACTCGGACTACGAGCTGGGCTCCGATGGTAGTGGTGACGATGGCCGACCCCGCAAGCGTGGGCGCCCTACCATGAAGGAAAAGATAACCGGGTTCACGGACGCGGAATTGCGTCGCTTCATACGTAGCTACAAAAAGTTTCCCGCCCCACTTCACCGCATGGAGGCCATCGCATGCGATGCTGAGCTGCAGGAAAAGCCGCTGGCGGAGCTGAAACTCCTCGGAGAGATGCTGCACGACCGCTGCGTTCAGTTTCTGCACGAGCACAAGGAGGAAGAGAACAAGACTGCGGCGGCGGATGAGATTCCGGGCGCCAAACAGCGCCGCGCACGCGCCACCTATTCCGTGAAGTTGGGTGGCGTCTCCTTTAATGCCAAAAAGCTGCTGGCCTGCGAGCAGGAGCTGCAGCCGCTCAGCGAGATCATGCCCAGCATGCCCGATGAGCGCCAGCAGTGGAGTTTCAACATCAAGACGCGCGCCGCCGTCTTCGACGTGGATTGGGGCAACGAGGAGGACACAAAGCTGCTGTGCGGCATTTACCAGTACGGTATTGGGTCCTGGGAGCAAATGAAGCTGGACCCCACGCTCAAGCTCACGGACAAGATCCTGTTGAACGACACGCGCAAGCCGCAGGCCAAGCAGCTGCAGACGCGTGCCGAGTACCTGCTCAAGATCATCAAGAAGAACGTGGAGTTGACCAAGGGTGGCCAGCGACGGCAACGTCGCCCCAGAGCATCGCGGGCCAACGACGCCAAGGCGACCAGCCAGGCGGCTAGTTCGCAAAACGAAGGCAAGTCGCAGGACGCCGATGACCCAAGCGATGGACGCACCGCCGCCGAGAGCAGTATCAGTCAGGTGGACCCATCGACCGCGTCGCCGCACAATGCTCCGGCCGCTGAGCAGTCGAATAGCAGCGCAAAGAAGACCAAAAAGTCCAAGGCCCGGTCGAAAAAGACCAGTGCCTCGGACAACAACGGCAACAAGCCAATGCACTTTACGGCCAACAACGAACCGAGGGCCCTGGAGGTGCTGGGCGATCTGGATCCCAGCATATTCAATGAGTGCAAGGAGAAGATGCGACCAGTGAAGAAGGCCCTAAAGGCCCTGGACCAGCCGGACTTAAGTCTGTCCGACCAGGATCAGCTGCAGCACACTAGGGATTGCCTCTTGCAAATCGGCAAGCAGATCGACGTTTGCCTCAATCCCTACGGTGAGCCGGAGAAGAAGGAGTGGCGCAGCAACCTGTGGTACTTTGTATCCAAGTTCACGGAGCTGGATGCCAAGCGTCTGTTTAAAATCTACAAGCACGCCCTCAAGCAGACAACGGGCGGAGGTGACGACGCAAGCGAGGCGAAGGGAAAGGCCAAGGACTCGGCCGGAAGCCCCACCAAGTCAAAGCGCAATGGCCTGTCGGCTGAGGAAAGGGACAAGGAACGCGACAAGAGTGGCGGTAAGAAAAAGAAGAAGGACAAGGACAAGGAGCGTACTGGACAATCGCGGTATCCGGAAACGGGTGCCCCCTCCTCCGGTCGCTATGCCAACGACTCGCCTCTGAAGCGGAAGCGGGACGAGAACGATGCAGAGGCTAGCAGCGGAGTATCTGGTACACCTGGCGGGGGCATCGGTGACCACCTCAAGTCTATGTCCTTCAAACGGCTCAACATGGACCGCTATGAGGAGCGCAAGAAGCATCATCGCGGCGCCGACTACTATGGTGGCAGTGGCCCAGCCATGGGCAGTGGAGGCTACGAAGGAGGCGGCAGCAGTAACTCCCGCCGTCAAGGCCCCACCTCCCCATCCACACCGAACAGTCGTGGAGGTCGAGGCGGCTACGATCCACCGCCCGCTCCGTCCGGCTACACACCGGAGATGGAGCGGTGGCATGCCCGCGAAAGGTAATGCCCTAAATATGCGCACCTAGTTCCCTTGAGGGGATTCTTAATACGCATTTTCCTTGCAGATACAGCCAGGAATACAAACGCGATCGCTACGATGGGTATGCGCGCAGTGGAGGAGCTCCCGGCGGCTATCATCGCGAACAGCGTGAACGCGATCGTCGTCCCGACAAGCGCAGGTAATTTATCGCCAAGTCTACTTATCATTAAAGCTCTAGCCATTAGTAATTGTATTGATAAAGTGCTTATTATTTTGTTATTTAATGATTGCCTGTTACAGATATCCCTCGGGCCTGCCGCCTCATGCTTACTCAAGCCCCTACCTGCCGCCTAACTACTATGGAATGCCGAATGGAGTCGTTCCTGGCCTGCCGCCACCGCCGCCCGGCTACCGCAGTGACCCACGCGGTTATCCGGTGATGCCGCGAGACTATCCTGCCGACTACAGACGCAGCGACTACGAGCGACGCACGCAGACCTGATAACTCGGTCGTGGCACCCGTCTGTCTGTTGTACATAGAATGCCTAGACTTAAGCGCGACTGGGATACTGGTGTACCCTGGCCAGCGACTCGACACAAGAAAACCAACCTGCATACAATACGTTAAGCGTAGCTCCGTACACACCTGTGCAAGTAATACCCTAGCAGCTAACTTTACGTCTATACATAATTTCACATCCGATCGCACAGTGGGCAAGCAATGCATCCATCATCCAGGGTTTTAGCGGCAATACCTGCAACCTAATCTTAAACTTTCTGTGTATAAATCATAGGCTTTAACTCGTTCATCAGTACGAAACATTATTTTTATACTATTTAACTGTACAGAAGAAGGTGCGCAGCGGTTAGGAAAGTGTGCTGTGTACTGTGTGCTGTGTGCGGTATGCATGTGGCCCATGATGCAGACAAGTCGTTTAAAAAGCTTTTAAACCCACAACAAATTCTCACTATATTTAAACACTAAGATATGTTTGTAAACACAAAAGCAATGAGGAGGGGTCGTTGAGGAATCGTATCAAGATTTTGAAAAATAGCAGCAGACTAATAATTTGTTTAATGTCTATAATGCATTCTAACTTTTATATACCGTTTAGAAATAAAGAATCAGCGAATGATCCAGAGAATTGTAATTTAGTTAATATTAAATATTAATGATATATTAATATACAAAGTACGTTGTAGTGTCTGAGAAATCTATTAAAAATATATCAATAAATTATAAATATATAAAAATAACAGATCTATTTATTGGCAAACCCAAATCGATTTATCTTGCTTTTAAAGTGTTTGCCCATTGATAACGACAAAGTTAAAGAACAAAATCCCCCGAGTTCCAAATCTCAGTGTTCCACGTGAGGACCCCACCCTTTGAAGTTATCTTAACTCGACGCACATGCTCAGCTGTCCAAAATGCCATCTCTATTAAATTATCAAACATAATGGACAACGAGCACGGGTCCGAACTGGGAACTCAAGAGTACTGGGAATCCAGCTACAATCGTGAGATTAAGAACTACAAAAGCCACGGGGATGTGGGCGAAATCTGGTTCGACGAGGATTCGCAGCAGCGGGTGATCGACTGGCTGCTGAAGCAGGAGGAGATCACCAAAGAGGCGCGGGTGTTAGACCTTGGCTGCGGCAATGGCATGTTCCTCGTGGGGCTGGCCAATGAAGGATTCGGTCAGCTGACCGGCGTGGACTATTCCCCCAAGGCCGTCGAGTTGGCCCAGCACATTGCCCAGGACAACAAACTGGACATCAGCTACAAGGTGGCGGACTTGACCCAGCCCCAGGACGAGCTGGGTACCTTTGATGTGGTGCACGACAAGGGAACCTATGATGCGGTCAGTCTCTGTCCCGACAGTCCCAAGGAGAAGCGTGCTCTTTATCTGGCAACGGTGGAGAAATTGTTATGCAGCGCAGACAGCCTTTTCGTAATCACATCCTGCAACTGGACGGAGGATGAGCTGGAGCAGAGCTTTGCCAAGAAGTTTGTTAAATACCACAGTATTCCCACACCGACCTTCAAGTTTGGTGGCAAAGTGGGCAACGTGGTGACGTCAGTTGTGTTTAAGAAGCTTTGAATAAAAGTAAATTGAAAATTTGTACATCATATCGATTTTGTTCTTTTGGGAGTCCTCCATTTATTATTAAGCCAACATGGATGTTTAAACTTCCACTTAATAGTAAACTACACTAGTTTCAAAAACAATTTATAAATTCTTTTATTTAAAACATACATGCTATAGAATATAGCAAAAAATTCATTTATAAAAAATATAAAATGCGTCACAAAGTAAAATTTAGTTCATGCAAAAATACTTAAGAGTAGGTTACATTTACATTGCACGCTATTTTCGACAAACGGGAGCACCAAGCGGCGTTACTTTGTGGAATGGAATAGCTTGCTCCTCGGCAAAGGCCAAAAAATCCATGCCATAATGCTGGATGAGTTTCGTGAGCATGGCGACATCCGCCTCGGCCTGATGGGCATTACTTGCTGGTCGTTGGAATTTGTTTGTGTACAGAGTTCCCAGTCTGTAAACACCGCGTGGCGGATAGAACTTGGTCTCAGCACACTGAACACCGCTAAAAAGTTGTCGGCGCGACCGAAACTCTTTAGTTTTCAACTTGGCAGGACTATGATCATCATCTTCACCATCAATTAAGTGCTTGCGCTTAAGAGAAGCTTCCTTGGGCGTCAGAACAGGACGCTTCGGAGTGGTTTCATTTCTTGCTCGCCAGTCGATTTCCTTGGCAATTTCCGGTTCCTCAAAGGCAGTTTCAGTTTCTTCAAAGGATTTATGTTCCGAGACAGCTTCAGTCTCATCATTAGGATCAGGTCGCTGCGCATTCTCTGGTACTTTTAAGAGATTTTGTTCTTTTTGACGTTTTTGGTCGATCTCAAAAAAGGCACGTAGTGAGTCCACACAAGACGTGGATTGGGGAAGTTCCATATTGAGTTTTTCAAAGGCCTGCCTCAGAATGGGAAAGTCAAAGCCCCAGCCATTGTGAGCCACCAGGCAAACCGGAGCTGGCAAGTGTTTCAGGAAGCTGATGATAAGTTGGGCCGAATCTCCGTTCAGCTTGGATTCCCGCTCCAGCAAATAATTGCTCAGACCTAATACATATATGGTAGTACATGAATATAACAACTGTTTTAGTCATCTATGATTAGTCATTGGGATGCAGTTTATAGCATACCTGTGATACTTTCGGCTTCCGGATGGACCAACATCGATGGCTGGAATAGCAGGTTCAACTTGTGCAGCACGCGTGGTGCCGCCGGAAGATCCTGCTTATCCTGCTCCTCATCCTGAGGCACTGCCACTCCATTCTTGATGAGATCGGCCTCAAAGGCGTAAATGCACAACTCTGTAATGCCGACACGATTGTAATTGTAAGCAGGCAAGTTAGTCGTCTCCAGATCCAGTACTGCAAAGGTGGAAATCTTCGGCTGGTCATCAACGACCACATCGCTTGGAGCCATTGGAAACGATAATGGTCATGAATGTGTGTTTAGAACTTGCTTTATTTCAAAATGCATTGTAAACAGGAACTTCTGGGGATTTACCAACACTGCAAGTGGCGTTTAGAGATGGCACCGTGAAACAAATGTTATTCACTGATGTATTCAAATGTTTTGGCAACATAAATACTTAAAAAAAAAAAATAATTATATAATATCATAATTTAAATGTTTAAGCAATAATAAAAGTAATTCAGCCTACTTAGGCTGTGTTTCGAAACACTAGCATTAAATTTGACAGCTACAAAGTCGTGTCACGCAAAGCAGGCCAGGACTTTTCTCAGTCTCTAGCTGAAAAAGTTTTATATTTTAAGCTCTCACTTTGGCAGTGGATGTCGGCAAGTGAACATAACATTTTGTGTGAGTATAAATTTAACCAAATAAATGGAGGCCAGCTACAGGCAGAAGAGAGAGTGGCTCAACAGCCGCTCCTCCGGTAATGGTAATGGTGCCTATGGAGACAATAGAGATGGCGGCTACTCCGGCCAATTCGGTGGCTATTCCGGCCAATCGGGGGGCTATTCGGGCCAATCGGGGGGCTACTCTGGCCAGTCGGGCGCCGCCCAAATGGGTCGTAACCTTGGGGGCTGGGCCCCCTGGAACTCCTCGAACACTAATCCCATGCCTGGTCCGTCCACTGACTATCCTGCTGCCCCGCAGGCCAGCTCTCTTTGGAGCCGTAATCGAAACGATTGGAACGACACCCAAGACCAAGCGGGATCAAGTACCGTCATGAACAGTCGCTCGTGGTCAGGCAATCGCGGATTGCCCTCCAGCCAGGGACAGGAACCCGACCAGTGGCAGGGACATGGACCAAGGATGGCGCAGCGTGAGCTCCAGCCAATACCGATGCAAATGCACGAGGAGGAAGGGGGGCCACCGAGTCACCTGCGCGTTGCCATCTCTCGACTTAGCGGCTCCAGGCGCAAGTGGTTTAACCGCTACGTTGAGACGGGCTGCAGCCAGGAGGAGGCTCTGGCCAAGGCCTCGGAGCCACGCACCAATCCGGCCGGCTTTAAGGGCGGATCACTCAAGTGGTACGATAGGTACATTGCCATGGGTTGCACTGAAAAAGAGGCACGCTCAAAGGTGCTGGAGTATAAGAGGAGCCATCCTCTTAATCGGTCGGAGCAGCCAGCTCCTGCTGAACGCGGACGTAAACGTCCAGAGCATTTTCCTGTTTCGGGTGATCGCAGCCGCAAGCGTCCCACTGAGGACAAGTCATCTGGCGGAAGAGGCAATGAAGAGCCTAAGAAGCAGCGCAGAGCCGCAGAAAGACCTCCATCGTCGGCAAGCTACAGGAGGAAAGACCTCACAATGGCCATTATGGCGGAGGAATATCCGAAATGCGTTTTGAACAAGAAGCAACTGTCCAAGATCGAGGCAAGCCTCGTCGAGGAAATGCGAAAGGGCTGGAAAACCAGCATCAACTTTGGAGGCATCCAATTCCTCCCCGGTTTGATTTTGGTCACCTGCCTGGACAAAAGTTCCAAGCAGTGGCTTGAGCAGGTGGTACCCAAGATCGAAGTGTTGCCGGGAATCAAACTGTCGTCCTGTCCGGAGGACGAGGTGCCCTCCACCAAGGGGTTTACCATTTTTGTGCCGCGCTCTGCCGACGAGGCCGATACAATTACAATTGGCCTTTTGAAAGATCAAAATGCAGACCTTTTGTCTAAAACGTGGCACATCGCCCGCTCGACCAAGTTCAAGGATGGCAAGGTCATTACCGTCACCATTGGCGACAAGGTCTTAGAGCTGCTGCGCAAGAAAGGCATGACGGTCAGCTACCGCTTTAGCCAGCTTTCGTGTCGCCTGATCAGTGGCAAGGGTGCACTAAAGGCAATTCGCGTGAACCAGTCGCAGCCAAGGGATACCAAACCCAAGCAAAAAGCTACTACTGAGTCCGATCAAATTGACCTGACTGACGAGGATGGCGAAAAATATATTCCTCAGCTTGACCTTACGCTCGTTGACGAGGTTAGGGGGGATGACGACGAGGAGGTTGAAGGGAATAACGAGGCGGAGGACGGGGATCACGAGGAGGAAGTGGAGCTAGTTGAAGTTGAGCCCGACGAAGAGCAGCTGGCGGCCGAAGGTGAGGAAAATGATGAGGAGGAGCACATGGGGGAAGAAGACCACGAGCAGGAAGAAGACCACGAGCAGGAAGAAGACCACGAGCAGGAGGAAGACCAAAAGCAGGAGGAAGACCATGAACATGAACAGGAAGAAGACCACGAGCAGGAGAAAGGTCACGAACAAGAGCAGGGGGAAAATGCCGAGGAAACAACCATCATTGAATGAGGTGCTCCTCGTAAGTACGCATCATAAATGAAAGAAAAGGGATTAGGCGATCTCAAGGTAATTCTAATTATTTTATGAAAAAGAAGCTATTAACTTATCTTCATTTTTCCCTAGAAACGATCGATGCGCAGCAGCATTTACACTTTACAAGGAATTTATTCGAAATACACCAAAAACATACTAGACATAAGGTTGTACCAGCAAGAAGGTACTGGAACATAGACTCTAGAAGCAAGAAGAAGCTACTGGGACATTGGCAATCAACCAGTTTTGTTTAAATTTATAAGCCCTTACTGCAATATTGGGACACAAACACTTCCTTTAACACTATGACTTATGACATATAACATACACCAAAACGAAAACTCAAATGTTTTTCATTAAAAATTACGTTTGGAAACGTTGTATTACTTTAAAGTAATTCAGTACAGAAAACATTTTATTATAACGTTTATTTATCAAAAATTCCTGTTTATTTAGCAACAAAATAGAAACGTTAAATAACGTTGAATACGCAACTGCACTACATAGATACGACTCTTACAAACAATGTGGCTGTCAATACTTAGGGATTTCGAATCCCGACGTCTTTGAAGATAAACTTTAAAATACATTCGAGAAAACGCATGGCACTCTTAACTGCTGCCATGAGCGAGCTAGACACCGCTTGCAGACCCTGCACTCCTTGCGTCCTCCGATTTGGAGTCTGCTGGGCCGCATGCTCCTCGCTTTTCCGAAAACTGCATGTAATCCTCTCGTGTGGCTGACTCGTACTCCTGAACAAGGCAGTCAACCGTTTCACGGGAATCGTCAAGCTCCTCCAAACTGTCCTTGAAGATGTCCTCGCGGCGGAACTGGTCAAGAAAAGCGCCGCGCTTGCGCAGCTTGTCGTACTGGTTGAGGGCCCGCTCGAAAAGCGAGCAGATGCTTGTATGGTTGGCCAACATCAGGCCGGACACTCGGTGGTTACTTTGGACGTAGGGCGAGGAGCGGGAGAGCGCTACCTGAATGGAGGTGGGCCCCCAGGGAATGAATTGGGCCATCTTGCGGTCCCGGATGCGCTGCAAGGACTTGTGCACCTGTGTGGGATCCACTTCGCCCTGGATGATGTTTAGAATAGAAATGTAGCGGTGGTGGTTGGTCTTGTCGGGTCCCGTGGACACCATCATGTTCTTGGGCTGTAGCAGACGACGCATTACATCCAGGACGGTCGTTTTGCGCACATTAAACGATTCCTGGTTGTTGACATCCGAATCGCTGGTCAACGGAGTGTAGCCAGTCATGAGGAAGTGTAGCTGTGGCGTCGGAATCAGTGGAGCCATGAGTCCGATGAGATTGTTGTTCATATAAGAGGGATAGCGCAGCGTGGTGGTGCTCACGCTCATTATGGTGGATACCAGATTGTTGATCTGCGAGAAACTCGGATTCTGGATGTGCAAACGATCGCAGGCAATGCGATTGAGGGCCGTGTTGTCCAGGACGACTACACTGTCCGCCGCGGTGGTCAGACGTTTGAGGGTCAGCATGGAGTTGTAGGGCTGCACCACAACGTCGCTGATCTCGTCCTGATTGGGGAACACACTGAACGTCTGGATGAGCTTCTTGGGATAGCGGTCTGCTATCCGCTCCATGATAAAGGAGCCCATTCCAGAGCCCGTACCGCCGGCAATGGAGTGGCAGAGTATGAAACCCTCCAGCGAATCGCTGCCATCGGCCTCGCGGTCGATTATGTCGAATACCTCCTCCTGCAGCTTGTCGCCCTGGCTGTACCCTGAGGCCCAGTTGTTGCCAGCGCCGCCTCCATGCTTGGATAGGTACACATTCTCCGGGTTATAGAGCTAAGGATATACCAGTAATGTCAGCAACTAGAATCTAATTTCCCCGTACCACCTGACCCACCTTGGAGTAAGCGGAGCCCATTATGGTATTGATTACCCTCGGCTCAAGGTCCAAAAGCACTGCACGGGGTATGTAATGATCGTCGTCCGCCTGGTAGAAGAACACATCCTTGCGGTCCATGCCATCGGTGGCGAAGTCCTCCAGCACGCCGCTGGGGGAGATGCCATGTTCCAGGCACAATCTTTTCCAGAACTCAAAGCCAACTGCGGAAAATATGTATTAACAAGCGAACAGATGTGTCCTTTGCTATATACTTACTTTGGTTGCCGCATTGTCCCAGCTGCAGCGTAATTATTTCACTTGGCATTATGGAGCGTTTTTAGCAATCCAGAAACTGTAAGTCGGGATTTAAGGTAACCTTTTCAGAGTCAGTTATTCGAAACAGAACAAAGTTATACTTATTAATCATCGGTTAATGGCAATTTTTTAAATATTTGCCACAGCGGGGATGTATTTTGTTTGCAAATTATACCAGTGTTGGTTAGCACTCCAATCGCCCATGCTCAACCGTATAAGAAGGTGATGTTTTGTACGGTTACATTATTATTTTTATCTTAAAATACTTTTCAAACAATTCAAAATCGTATTGTGTATTAATTATTAATTTTTTTTTGTGCTAAATGAAAGTTAAAACTTAAAGCTATCAAAAGTTGTTGGGGTTTAAATATTAGTGGCCTTCAGCTATCCAGCTTAATTATTGTGTTCACTGACGTCACAAGCTGCAAAGTATTTTCTGCAGCTGTACTTTTGCAGAGTTGCAACGCATTAAGTGTTGGAAAGCGCAGAATCGAACGGCTTGAAAAATCGCATTGCCCGCGCAGTTTTCTTTTTGTTGATGTCGGAGGCAGACAGACCAAGCGGCAGCGGCTGTGCATGATACGCAAAAAAAGTCTGAAAATCTGTAAAAATAAATAAAATTAATTGTGCAGAGTGCAATTGCTCGAACCGAAACGAACGGTACTGTATAATGCCCCGCATCAAAACTACGAAAAAACAAGCAGAGGCGGTGGCTTCCGAACCTTCTGACCCCACTCCAAATGGCAATGTCGCCGACGAAAACCAAGCGGCAGACCCCGCCTCTGCCGCCGGTGAAGTCAAGGTTCCGGGGAAGGGGAAACCACGGTTGAAAAAAGCTATCAAGGCGCCTGTAGAGATGGAAAACTCCGCCGAAGTCGAGGCTGAAAAGGCGCCCACAGCAGCTGCACGTGGCAAGAAGAAGCAGCAGCCAAAGGATACAGAAGAAAACGGCGAGGCCAAGGTGGTGGTCAAGCCAAAGGGACGCGCCAAGAAGGCGACTGCAGAAGAGCCACCAGCTGGCAAGGTAACCAAGTCGCGGGCCAAGATTGAGGCCACTCCAGCTGCCGAGGAAGAGGCTTCGGCAAATAGCAAGGGCCGAACCAAGATCGAAAAGCCAACGGAAGTGCAGGAGCCAAAGGCCAGAGGGCGGAAGCGGAAGGACCCCTCGGCCGAGGCCAATGGAATCTCGGATGAGCCGGCAGAGCCACCTAAGCGGCGGACAAAGAAGGAAGCAGCACCAGCGATCGAGGAAGAACCACAACCATTGGCACCGCCCAAAGAGAAGGCCCAAAAGACTGAGCCAGCTGCCAAGCGGGCGCGCGGAACAAAGCGACTGGCTGACTCAGAGATCACAGCTGCCCTGGAGGAGGCAGAAGTGGATGAGGAGCCACCCAAGGCTGCCAGCAAGGGAACCAAAAAGGGCAAGGCGGTTAAAATGGAAACTGAGACTGAAGTTGATTCCGATCTGGTGTCGGAAGAACTAGAAGCCCCGCCTAAAGCTGCTGCCAAAAAACGAACCAAAAAAGAAACTGAGCCCAAGGCTAAAACCACCAAGCAGAGCGCCAAGGCGATTAAAACGGAACCCGAGCCTGTAGGTGATGCCGAACTAGTGTCCGAAGAATTGGAAGCCCCTCCCAAAGCCGCTACCAAGAAACGAACCAAAAAAGAAACTGAGCCCAAGGCTAATCCCACCAAGAAGGAGGAGCTACCGGCGCCCGTAAAAAAGCGCGGGCGGAAGGCGTCTGCCGATAAGGAAAACGGTGTGGCTACAGAAATCGAGCCTTTGGCTGAAAGCAAACCAGGTAGGCAAGTCATAGAGATAAATCTTTGAACCATTTTCAACCATTTTCCATCCACAGTTCGAGGTCGCAAAAAGGCAGCAGTAAATGCGGAGGCAGTCGAAGATTTTGAGGCAGCAGAGCCCGCAGCTGATAGCAAACCAGGTGGGCAAGCTACAATTGAAATAAATCGAAATTTGTTAGTAAAATAATCTCTTCTGCAGTTCGTAACCGGAAAAAGGCAGCCAGCAAGGTTGAGGATGCCGAAGATGATGATGAGGTTGGCTCGAAAAGTATGTTGGCGGAGCAATCCGGTTGCGGTGGCGCTGCCGTATTGAAAAGCTTGCAAAACATGCTCAACTTCTGTTTTCCAGCAGCCAAGACAGCCAAAAAGGCGGAGGGCAAATCCAATGGGACATTGGATAAAGACGCATTCGCTTTGCCAGCCGACAAGGAATTCAACTTGAAAATCTCAAGCTGGAATGTGGCCGGTCTAAGGGCCTGGCTTAAGAAGGATGGACTTCAGATAATAGACCTCGAGGAGCCAGACATTTTCTGCCTTCAGGTAAGCAATCGTAGACCTGCCAACATTAAACACTAATCCGAACTCACCTTAAAGGAAACTAAGTGCGCAAACGAACAGCTACCGGAAGAGGTTACCCGCCTGCCGGGCTATCATCCCTACTGGCTGTGCATGCCCGGTGGTTATGCCGGCGTCGCCATTTACAGCAAGATCATGCCCATAAACGTGGAGTACGGAATTGGCAACGAGGAGTTCGACGATGTCGGACGCATGATAACGGCGGAGTACGAAAAGTTCTACTTGATCAATGTTTATGTGCCGAATTCGGGTCGAAAGCTGGTTAACTTGGAACCGCGTATGCGTTGGGAGAAATCCTTCCAAGCGCACGTGCAGAAGCTAGATGCCCTTAAGCCTGTGGTCATTTGCGGCGACATGAACGTCTCCCATATGCCCATCGACCTTGAAAATCCGAAGACGAACACTAAAAATGCCGGCTTCACCCAGGAAGAGCGCGACAAAATGACGGAGTTGCTGGGACTCGGTTTTGTGGACACCTTTAGGCATCTGTACCCCGACCGGAAGGGCGCCTACACCTTCTGGACTTACATGGCAAATGCGCGGGCACGCAATGTTGGCTGGCGACTCGACTATTGCCTGGTATCGGAACGATTTGTTCCTAAGGTGGTGGAGCACGAGATCCGCTCGCAATGCCTTGGAAGCGACCACTGTCCGATCACAATTTTTTTTAATGTTTAGATTATTACTTTATGTTTCTGTTTTTCGGACTAATTCATCGTCAACACTAATTTGTTTCCGCTTAATATTTGGGTTTTTTTTTATTGTATTTATTTATCTTAGGCTGTACGACTTGTACGGGCCGATTTAATTTGTTAAAATCTTCATTACTCTTACATTCTGTTGTAAATCGACCATTCGTATTGGTGTTTTTCAATAAAGTTAGCTACTCCCGTCTAAAAATTTTTTGTTCCTAAAATGCTTTTTTGAAATGAATGTTATAAAGGGAAATGTAAAAATATTTATTTCCTCAAAGAAAGGAAGCAAACTTCGGCAAAGTTCATATACCCTTGCAGCTATTGCCAAAATTAAATATTCTTGAAAAAATTAAAATTAAGATTGACTTGCGTGTATGCTTACATTAAAGCTATGGTGATATTTGATAGTTCGTATGGCAGCTATATAATATCGTTTTCCGATTTTAATAAAATTAAAAGCGTAATTCTGAACTGTCAAATTATTAATGAATCTAAAAGAATTTCTAAAAAAAAAATTACAAAATAAAAAGGTTACATTTTTAAAAAAAATTTTTGACTCTCCTAGTGATGCTGATCAAGAATATATATATACTTTATAGGGTCGGAGATGTCTGACTGAAATTATAATACCCTCTGCAAGGGTATTCAAATATAACGGAAAAATATCGATAAGACCTATCGCTTGGGTTCTTCCCTACCAGCTGGTTTCTTGTTTGCCTATCTTACCACAACTTTATTTTCCCGCCAAATTTCGAGCATTCTGAAGTTTTTGCCAACAATTAGAAATTTGCGAAATGTCTGTGACGCCAGTAAATGGGCATGGGGCTTCGCCGAAAGAGGCTTCGTCGTCGGCAGTGAAGGAGGTGGGCAAGAAGGATCAAGCGGAGCAGATCAACCGGGATGAGGAGCAGTATCTGGACCTGCTGAGGCACATCATCGCGAATGGAGAGCGGCGGACAGATCGCACGGAGGTGGGCACTTTGTCCGTGTTCGGCAGCCAGATGCGCTTCAATATGAGAGATTGCTTCCCTTTGCTGACCACCAAGCGCGTCTTCTTCCGCGCGGTGGCCGAGGAGCTGCTCTGGTTCGTGGCGGGCAAGACGGATGCCAAGCTGCTGCAGGCCAAGAACGTGCACATCTGGGACGGGAACAGCACCAGGGAGTTCCTGGACAAGCTGGGGCACACGGAGCGTGCCGTTGGAGATCTGGGCCCGGTGTACGGCTTCCAGTGGCGGCACTTTGGAGCGGAGTATGGCACCTGCGATGACGACTACACTGGAAAGGGCATCGATCAGTTGCGACAGGTGATCGACACCATCCGGAATAATCCCTCGGACAGGCGCATCATCATGTCGGCATGGAATCCATCGGACATTCCGAAAATGGCCCTGCCGCCGTGTCACTGCCTGGCGCAGTTCTATGTCTCCCAGACGCGCGGCGAACTCTCCTGCCAGCTGTACCAAAGGAGCGCCGACATGGGTCTGGGCGTGCCCTTCAACATCGCCTCCTACGCCCTGCTCACCCACATGATCGCCCATGTAACGGGTCTGAAGCCAGGCGACTTTGTGCACACCATGGGCGACACGCACGTCTACCTGAATCACGTGGAGCCGCTGAAGGAGCAGCTGGAGCGAACGCCGAGACCATTCCCCAAGCTGTTGATCAAGCGTCAAGTGCAGGACATCGAAGACTTCCGCTTCGAGGACTTTGAGATAGTCGACTATAATCCCTATCCCAAGATCAAGATGGAAATGGCCGTCTAAGCGGATGTGAAAAACTGATTTTTATCAAAAGCATTTATTAATTATATCCACCAATCTCACCTGTATTACTTGAAAGGTCGCAAATTATTAATTAAGTTACAGTAGCTCAACGCTGGGAGCGAGTGATCCCAATGAATACAATTCTATTACATGTTATAAGGGTCTACCAAGATAAAAGATTTTGATGATTTCTAAAATATGTGTGACCGCCCTACATATATAAAAATAAAGATATTCCACGGAAACATTATTTAAACACATCATTTCATAGCTTTATTTGAATAAATTGTTGCTTTCATTCATCGTGTGTAGTGTGTGTTTGTTGTTTGTAAATTCTCAGAGTAATCCATAATGAAGTATAATTGATTCTTAATAAATCTTGCACAGAGTATACCGTAAATATGCTATATAAATTTGCTTGACATTTTCCGCACTTAATATTGTGATTTTTCTTTGTTTCGGTTTCTTGATTTTTGTCTTTTAAGTAATTTAATGAAAATTTTAAGAAAATTGTTAAGGTTTTGTGTCCATATGAGAGAACTCGACAGTAATTCAATATTCAATTTATGCACTTTAATTAAATTGGAATAATTGGTTTTAAGTTTTGTTCTGTGATGATTAAAGATAAATACATATTTGCTACTACAATACGATACTGTCCACCAATATTTTGACTATGTTTTATAACGACGAGAAAGAAACTTGCATAGTTTTGCATATTTAATATATGTGGCTAATGTATGCAAGCTAACCGATAGACAAATAGAAATTATCTTGAATTATTATAATCTGTTATGTGGAATTCAATACGTTTATTAACTTATGTTGAGCTTGAAAGAGCGAATGCCACTAGAGTTTCTGAGTTCAGTTAAGATTCAATATTTTTGTTTCCATTTTGGCTAAAGTGTTTCCTTCATCCGTTGCCTTTTGACTTGCGTTTAACAATAGTGCTTAAAATTAGTACCTTTGACTAAGTTCTTTCGACTAAGACTTGGATTTAATTAATTTATAATATATTTTAAGTGTTTCCATTTCTTACTTGAACATTTAAACATATACAAAGAGCGTCATTCCGTCCGCAACTTACTGATGACTTGCACTACAAAATGCTATTCGTTTCCTTGTAATATGATCGATAGCCGGGTCTTGTTAGATGATGCTACAGCTGAAATTAAGATCTGGGCCAGGATACTCTGTAAACCCAATTTGTAGTACTTTCATACAGGTTAAACAAGGGAAAATGTGTGAGCAGGACAATGGTATTTTCCTGGCACTCACCATCGAAAATTCTACAGATCTCGGGGAGCCAGTTCTCTGTATATAGCTACACCTAAAAGCCATAAAATACACTTCTCAGATAGATCGCAACGGCTAGGTTTTCATATAATTTCTTCTTCTTTTCGTAGTATTTCTTGTTTTCTTTGCTATTCAACATTCATTTAAGTGAGACTAGTGGGTAAAGAGAGTGTGTCTGTTGTGGGGAGTGTGTGTGATCTGTGTGAGAGAAACAGACATTTAAAGCTGGTTGTAAACGGTGCAGCGGGTGCAAGTGCAGAAATTATGTCTGTTTGGGAGGCTGCCGCTTCATCGTTTACATCCCGCTTAAAGAGGGCGCTCTGCAGGCGTCCGGTTCCGGTTGCGTCTGCAGGCATTTGCACAACCTTATTGGCTTCAAAACGCGAAGGTTCCTCGAGAAAAGACTTTGCACGGTGAACGATCGATCGCCATTTTTATACATACATACATACGTCTTTGGTTTTTGCTTTTCTTTCGTTTGTTTTGGTGTAAAAGTATAAAAGTGTGCCGTAATTAAGCCATTCACTTGGTAGTTAAAATTTGTGGTAACTTGTCGATTTTAGTGTTTCTTCGATTTCGTTCCGTTGCTTGAGATCCCTCATCAATTCGAGTACGAGTACTCATACATTTTTTTTTTTCAAGATATGCGCTTTGTTTTCGTCTTCTTTAAATGTTAACATTATTGCGATTTCCATGTAAAAATTATAAATTTGCTGGTTTTATAGTTTTCTCGATTCGTTAGTCTTTTCTGCATTTAGTTAAACTTTCTGGTATTTGTTATTTTTACGTATGTTTCTCCTCGCTTGACGTGCCATTCCCTTTCTTCGATTTCATTTTGTTTTGTATATTATTGTGCGGTGTTTTTGTTCGTTACCATACCCATTAAGTATTTAATATGTAGGTATATATAATATAATATATTGTATATAGTACTCATGTATATATTTAAATTTTTAAAATACTTTCTTGGTTTTCTTCCATTTGTATTTATCATTTATAAAACATTTCATCTTAAAAAATGTATATAATCGATTGCTTTTTGTTGTTGTTCATGCTTTTCATTCACTTATTTGCGTATGACTGGATACCATGTCTGAGCATGTCTATTCATGTCTGCTATTCCCCTGTGCCACACATATGCACAAAAAATTGTGCTTCAATTTTTTACATTTTGTATAAAAAACATTTCATTTGGTGTTCTCTTTGTATTTTTTATAGGTTGTTTTCTTGAACTTGCTATAAGACTTGCTGGAAGGTATTTTATTTCTAATTTACCGCTTAAAAGCCAGAATTTCTATTTTATTTTCAGTCAAGCTTTTGCGCATGAGTGTGGGTAAAGTTAGGGTTCTTGGTTTTTTTCTTGGTTTTTCTAGTAGTTTTAAGAGGAGTAGGGGTGAAAAAGCTTTTGAGCTCTACAAATATTGGAGGCTTGGCGTTCCGATTTTTTATGCACTACACACACACATATGTACCTAATAATCGCAACCTTTGCCATAACGATATATGTGTAGTATATATATTTGTATATATAATTTCTTCATGGTAATTAGTTTTAAATAGTATGCAATAAATTTACTTGACGTATACATGAAAATGGTTTTTCGTTTTGTTAATGCATGCCATGAATAAGTATTCATAATAATTTCCTTGGTATATGTATCTGTATGTATACATTTAAAATTTGCAATACACAACATCAATATATTGTTAATCATATGTAATAGTTTTCATAAATAGTTATAGATTTTATAGAGAGATATAGCATAGTTAATGTGGTGTAACATTTCTATTTTTCCATTTCAGAATCTCTGTAATTTGAAAATAAAAAACGTAAAGCCATTTAGTGTAAATAAATCCAAAAAAATAATAATTTGTATCCATAAGGACTCTCTACCAATTTAATTCTTTAAAAAGGAATCCTGTGAAGCACCATGATATAGTTATCCTTTCTTATTTTGTCTTTGCCAGGCTCTCGAAAAACTTCCATCATTCTAGCAGCTCATTTTAAGCTTTCCATTTTCATGTCCATTTTTGTTTTCTAAAATTTGCTACATTTAGTTTGGCAATTTGTTTAGTTTGTTCGTTTCTGTTTTAGTTTATGTTATTGATGTTGTGTTGGGCTTAAACAAATTCGTTAGGCTGAAACGCGTTTTGTCATCTATGTTACGTACATCTCGCTTAGCTTTTCTTTTTTTTTTTTTTTTGTCTCTTGTTTGTCTAGGGAGGGACTTTGTTCTGATCTTTGTCTTTAGTTACATTAACTTCGATTGGAGTGGCGTGCTTATATTATTTAGCTGGCTTTTGTAAAAGCTTAACAATCGTTGATTGACTTTTATTATTATTCTCTCTCTCTTTGACTCGACAGGTATTATATTTCCATTTGCTTTTTTTCAAATTTTCTTAAATATTTATTCGTTGTATTTGAAGAAATTCTCATGGGTGCCTTTCTCTTAGTTCTTTTTTATCGCTAACCTGCTTACTCGATTTCACGCTAATGACACTACCACGTTTTGAGAGCCTATATTAATGCTTTATACTGAAATATAGGTAATGATTAACATATGATAGTGGCTAGGTGAAGGATTACTGGGCAATTGAACAAATGTTAATGTAGAATAAAAGGTTTAATTGTAATATTATGCATACATCATTTATTTTTAGCAAAAGTTATACATTAAATTTATAAAACATAAACACGTGTATGTCTTATTTGTTTGTTTGCTTTGTTTGGTTTTTTGCATCTAGCTTTCCTTCTCATTTTGCATTGTCTATTTGCAAAGTGGTTTGACTATGAGCCAAACGCCTCTATCTGTTTACGCATTCAGTTCTGTTTTCGTATCTCATTTTATACATTTATTTATAGCTTAAATATTTGTCAAGTTTGTTTTTAATTCTTTGGTGGATTTGGGCTCCTATGCCTGCAAATTGTATGTATTTTTCTGTTTAAAAATATCCGTAGAATATGCTCCATTTTTTCTACATATCAAACAAAAACTTAACTACAGCTTTACCTTTTCTGTTTCCATTTATCTTTCTGGAAGCTATTCTCTTTGCGAGAGTCGACTAGACGTTTTAAAAAAACAATCAACGAAAAAGTTACGTTCTACGAATTCAATTTAATCCATAAACATATATGCAAAAATAAAAAAAATTCTGTATTTCAAAACTTAATTAACAAAAAAAAAGTATTTTTTAAAAGCGATAGTAACTTATATTCGACTGCAAAACAAAAGAAAAACTCAGAAAATGAACTGTTCAAAGGCTTCACGTTCTTCAAACTAAGTGCAAATAACCAAAGCTGAGATATAGTTGCCAAAATATACAAAGAATCCATGAAATGGGCTGATGACATACAAAAAAAAAAACTTTAAAAGAACCAATTAGACCAGGTGGGCATATAGCCGTTGCTGCTGTTACTGTTTTTGTTGCCCGAACCACCACCGGATGAATGATTGGTCGTCATTCCCAGACCCATGCCGATGGATCCTCCTCCATTGCGCTGGTTCCCCGAGCCGGTAGAACTGTTGCTGGTTGGGGCTGCGGCAGTGTTGGCCACATTTGTCAAGAACTGGGCGAACTCCTGCTGCAGTTGCAGCTGCTGCTGCAGCAGCTCGTAGTGATTCTGGGGCTTGTTGTAAATGAATTTAGTGGATGTCTTCAGGATGTTGCTCGACGACGGCGAGGAGGATGCGGCGGTGACAGTGGCTCCGCTGGCATCGCCACTGGACTGTGAGAGACTGCTGCTACTGTTGTTGGTGGCCGTTGTGCTCCCTGCCACTTCTCCTGCTGTGGCCGCAGTGCTGCTTGCTAATCTCTTTGGTGGCGCCATTGATTGTTGCTTGTTGCTCGAGTTCGCTTGCTTCTGTTTGCTCGTATTGCTAGTGTTGTTACTGTTCATGTTGTGCTGCCTGTTGTTGCTGTGGTTAAAGTATTTGCCAAGTTGATAGGCTGCTGTGTTGCAGCCATTGCCGTTGATGTTATTATTGTTGTTGATGCTACCGATGTTGCTGTGGTGGTGATGATTGTGGAGGACTAGACCATTGGCCGCGAAAGCCGCCGCCGCCGCATTGGCATTGACAACAGCAGCCAACTTGGTTAATAATTACGTTTGCTTGTTCTTGTTGGTCTTGAAGCTGACCTGAAGCACTCGGTTGCCAAGTGTGTAGCCGTTTAGAGACTGAATGGCCAGAACCGCTTCCTCATAGTTTGTCATGGTTACAAATCCGAAGCCCTTGCACTTGTTGCTCTGTAGATCACGAATCACCTGCGGAAAGTCCAAGAATTAATAAACCGTTTTTATATTTGTGAATCAATTAGTTTGACCTACTTATATCCCCTCTGTCCTAATCAGATATATAAAAAACTTTAAAAAAGAATCCCAAATTAAAGAATAAAGATGGTGTTGTAAGCAATATTGGAATACTTGGATTGGAAATATTTGGTAAATTGAAAAATAAGTGTCTAACTTCTATCTTTCAACATAAAAATAAATAATAAATTATAACTTATAAGATTGAAAACTGGTTTTAATACATTTTTTTAGCTGTTTCAGTTAAAGGGGAATTGGGCGCAGTAACCTCCTATGTAAATCTTCCATGACTCAAACTATAATGTCATGAAACCATGCTACAATCAGTCCGGGATCGGAATTGCTGGCAACCCAACTTCGAAACAAAGCTCACCTTGACTGACTGCACTGCTCCAAACGGTCCAAACAGTTGCCACAGCACATTCTCCTCGGTCTCTGGCGCCAGGTTGTAGACGAAAATGCACCAGCCGGAGCTTGCAATGGTGTTGCCTTGGATCATGCCATTGGTGATCAGGTCGCTAGTCAGCGGCGAGTAGCGCGAAATTACAGAGCTGCGGTGTAAAGGAAAATAAATACATTTAATAATTTAAATATAAATTCCTTTTTTAAGATACAAGGAGTATTTTATTGAAGTAAACGGCTTCCCACAGTAGTTCCTGACCTGTAACGGCCCGCGTTGGGGTGAATGGCAGCTGCTGCGGCGGCGGCTGCCGCTCCGGCAGCAGCATTGGCCGGAAATGCTCGACCGCCCCGCGTATTTTGGGGCGCTATGTAGGCTGCCAGCGGCTGCATGCTGTTCTTATTGCTGCTAGGATTGTTGGCGAACTTGACGGTTATTGGTTCGGTGGAATTCTTCGGAGTTGTGCCGTTTAGCTCCTTAATGGCCCGATCGGCCTCAAATCGCTGATCGAAGCGTATAAAGCCAACGCCCTTGGAGAGACCTGAAACCGGCAAAAAGGTCAGTATTCAGGCCAATGTGCAGTGTATGAAAATATTTCAGAAGCGAGGCGAATGCAGTTTTTTTGTGTCATGCTTAATTGATTGATAATGAATATTTAATAAGGAATATGAGAATTTAGTTTTTTCACCAAAAGTTAACAACTTCTTGAATGAAAATATCATCACAGGTAGATTCATTGTACTTTCTTAACGAAAGGAATGAATTTATTAGTGAAATAGACTGTGTGTTGTAAATATCTGAGTTTTTGCACTTATTTATTCCTTTTTAAATTAAAATTAAATAATAAATGTCATAGTATGAGCGATGAACAGCAATGGAAAATAGTTAAACATAAGGAAAATAAAAACATACCCGGCGCATGTTCATCTTATTTGGTATTACATGTAAAAATAAAATTATAAATAAAATTTGCATTAATTAGAAATCACTAATTTAAATGGAGAATATATTGTGGAGTGTCAGCAAAAATAGATACAAAATTGTGCAGGCTGTAGGCTAAAATTACATTAAATAACTATTTTTTTATTATTTTAATTGGACATGCTTAGTTAAGGAAGACTACACCATGAAAAATCTTTTCAAAATCAGCTTTATCTGACTGTTCGTTTGATTCTTATTTTACTAATTGAAATCTACCATATATTCTCTTCTATGTCTATTATCACAACTCACCAGTGATATTATCACAAAGAATACGCGAGGTTATGATCTTGCCGTATGGACTGAACAATGATTCCAAATCCGACTGTGTCATATTTTTTGGAAGACCCGATACATAGAGATTGGCACCCTTGATGCTCTCGGAGCTGGGGCGTGCAATGGAGACCTTGATGGTTTTGTTCTGCAGCCGCAGGCCATTCAACGCATTGATTGCCTTTTCCGCATCCTCCTGCTTAACGTAGTTTACGAAACCGTAGCCTAGACTTTGACCTGCAATAAATGAGATATATAAATATAATATATAATTTATTTTATAGCTCTTATCTTTGAATAAGAAGATATGGTTTATAATTATAAGTTTGATCTTTAAGTTAAATTAAGTTATGAAAAAATCGCAGAAATAAATACTACTATTGGTTTTTCAATAATGCAATTAAGTTGAGGTGTGAATTTAACAATTTTTTGGTGACGTCACCAAGGTTCTTATTTAATTCTCACCTGTTACTTTGTCGCGAATCAACTTGCAGCTTTCCACCTCGCCAAAACTGACGAACAACGAACGAATCTCGTCCTGCGACATTGTCTGCGGCAAATAGTTCACAATTAAATTGGTCTTGGGATCTGGTTCATTATTATTGTTGTTGTTGTTTGCCGTGGCGTTATTGTTGTTGTTGTTGTTACTATTGTTGTTGTTGTTGTTCGTCGCATTGTTAGCAGAGGCTTGGCCACTGGCCGCATTTGCTGTGGATCCAGTGCTCGCTGCCGCAGTCGTGGCCGCTGCTGTACCACCATTGGTTTGAGCCTGGCTATTGGTCACATTGCTGGCAGGAGTCGGTCCTCCGCCAGATCCGGTAGTGTTTCCAACGCCGCCAGCACCGCCCGCTCCGGATGGTGGCTGCTGCTGTTGCACGGCTGTCTGACCTTCGACCATGGTGCGAAAACTGCTGCTGAAGGGATTTCCTTGTTAAAAAAAATAGGTATACCTCTCGGCTCTACCAAAAGCTATTGCGTCCCTCAAAAGATTGAATTATTTTAACAGTGATATGCGGTCAAACTAACATCACAATTTACCACTCATAAATGGTAGCGACAATTTTAAAAATTAAATATTTTGGATATATTAAAAACAATTTGCTTTTTAACCTAACAAAACAAGTTGCAAATTTTTGATCGCAAGGTAGAAAAATCCTTACAATCAAAAATGCAGAATAAAGAGACTCAAAACTCGGTAGGCTGAGGCTATTACTGTAACCGCAATAATTGACTAGAAAAGCTATGAAATTTACGGCTTTCTTTTTCGAAAAAAACTTGTTCTATAGACAAATATAGAGATGATGAGTAAACCAAATAAGTGGCTGTAGATATAATACTGCTGTGATATCTGCAAAGGGATAAAACAGATTTGTTTAATTTTAAAATTGGTTGATGTAAAATTATAGCTTACCCTTTACAGATGCTCACGTCGAGTGGGTAACAAAATGCCGCTTTCTGATCTAAGCTCTTACTATAGCCCAGTTAGAAGCGCGTCGTTAACGATATCCACTACGAAAAAGATGTATGGTATGCCAGAGAGATTACTGAAAGACAACAAATGAACAAATAAAACAAAGTTACAATAAAAATCAATTATTTTAATTTAATTTAAATGAACTGCGGGTCTGCTATAACCTATTTCCCTCCAGCTCTCGGAAATGGGGGAAATGACAAGAGTAAACATTTTGACTAAACCCATACAAATGCCGAGGGCTCTTTGCTTCTGTTCTGTGGTTGGCAAATTTGCTGGTTGGCTGGCAAACTAACAGTCCGACTGAATGCAAATAAGGCCAAAATACCCAAGTATTGACTGAAAAATCGATGCAATTAAAATAGCCTCCCCTTTAAAAGAGTAATTGAATTGACGACGACCTAGAAATTTGTACCTGTTTTTGGGGTTATTCAGTTTAATAAGTAGTAAGCTTCTTACAAGGTTTTTGGTTTGCTTGAATGCTAATGTGTCATTGTTTATAGCTTAAAATAACATCTGACGTATGGTTTATTTCCTTAATTTGCGTTTGCTTACCGCGCTCGCTAAGCGTATCTGCTTCTTCTTACCCAAACAACAAATTGGCCAAAAACAGAAAAGTATTTTTAGCCCACATTCAAATTGGCCTTTATGATCGTGGCCCACAATAGTAGGTATGTTCAATGTACAGTATAAGTATGTATGCACCAAGTAGATAGCAACTAAGTATTTTTTTGAAGGCGTAAAATAAGCCGGATAGTTTAAATCATATATTAAAAATCAGAATTAAGCAGTCATACCCCATCAAAAATTAGCTTCTTTTGGTTATAACATATGTATATAATGAAGTCACAATTTGAAATATTTGTTTGTTTTCTCTCTCTCAGAGATTGTATACTAAAATGTTCGACACTTATTAATCTATCCATGGTGGCCCAAAAATCAAGAACAGAAGGTTACACCTTCGTGCAAGATTTTGAATTTATCTGGGCAGTTGTTGCATTCAACGCCGCATATCGTGCGAAAAAATTATATTTTAAAAATAAACAATCAAATGGTGGGATGTGTGTGAGAAGGCAAAAGAGCGGAGAATTGCGCCGCTGCGTAGCCGGCAAGATTATATTTTCTAAAATATTTTTAAAGCAACAACAGCCAGATCGCAGCTGATGTGAGATGCTGACGTCTTGTGTTTGAGGTTAAGTAGTTTGTTAGCAGAGAGAGAGAAGCAAGTGATTCATAAAAATGCCAAAATATTGAAACATGTTTCGAAATTATATAAAGGAAGGGAAGTCGTGAGAAATTCTCTGGATTACCTTTGAAAACTATCCAGGCAATTCGAATTAGACTGTTTGCCGATTTATGTGTTTCAATGCGATTACGAAACAATTTTCAGGGGATATTTGGTTTTATATTTTTATTAATAACCGAAGCAAACGGAAACCGAACGGGAAGGCGCTCCACAAAACAAAAGGCGAGACAAACGTAAAAGTTATACTCATACAAATAACCGAAGCAAATAATTTCTGGAATATTATTTATCAAATTGTATTGATTGTGTGCCGTTTAAAAAAAGGAAAAAACCAAGCCAAAACGAAACGTGAAACTAATTCGTAATAACAATAACAATAATAATAAGGAAATAAAACCGAACGGAAAGTAGAAAAGAACGCGTTCCTGCAACTCAACAGAACAGAAATAAACTGTTTTGCCGAGCGGCGTGGAAATTATTTTTATGCCCCACTGACGAGGGCGAATAGTATAGTACTATAGAGGAAAAACGAGAGAGCGGCGGCTTCTTGGCCAGAACTTGTCGCCTGCTCTTTGCCCGCTCGAGGAAAGAGAAAACTCGATGGGAATGGATCAGAAATTACACGACTTTATGTTTTCCTATAGTGTGCATATACATATATCCGTAAGGTGGATGCCTGAGATGCTTGACGGCGGAGGTAATTTATAATTGGATTTTGCGCAAACATTGCATAGTGCACAGTATTTTCGTAATTTTGAAGATCTGAATCTGAATAGTTTCTAGTGAAAACCAAGAGCAGTTTCTGACCCAAAAACAGCTGTTGGTATAGAGAGCTCATGTTCTAAGTCTGTTATGTGAAGCGTTTGCAAAACAGTTGTTAAAAAGACTTTAAAAGCATTTGTCAAACAACGTTTTTTGACGTTATTATATTTCTAAAAAAAAAAGGAAAAGTAAAGTAAACAAATTTTCTGATCAAAAAAAATTGATAATCTGATGACACAGTGTAACGGTATTTATGTACATCAATTCTATAAAACTGTAAGACACTTTTTGTAATATTTAGTTTTGTATAGCCAGGTGGTCAAATCAAAGTCAAAATTTTAATTGGTCAATTAAAAAGTTTGTAAGAATCCCGCAAGTCTTATCCAACACACACTGTTTTGTAGCGAACCCATCCGAAAATAGTCTTCTTGCACTCCTTAAAATGCACGCCCACAAATAATGGTGGGCAACCATTAATTTTCATTCATAAATAGTTGAAAATTGTTTCCGGCTAATTGATGGATATGATTGCACTTACATACCCATGCAAGGTACACACACTGTGATAGGAATGGCAAGGAAGACGTATTCAAAGGGCAGGAACAAAACAAAAAAGTGACACACCTTGGCAAGGTATAAAAGGAGAGAGAAGGAAGTGCCGAGCAAAGGAAGGTTTAAAGAAAGTAGCGGAACATCTAAGGACGACTTCTGAGGCCGCTTGCATTTGGGTGCGGCAAAAATAAACAGGAGATATAGACAGAGAAAGAGAGTGAGAGCGCAAGCTGCAACGGAAGCGCAGCAGTCAGCTGAGCGCGCCACAAGGTATGCAATGGAAAGAGTCTGAGAGAGTGCGAGAAAATCCAAGCTCAGAGAGCGAGCTTAGCTGCAGCTTGCGTCGACGTTGACCGCGGTTCCCAAGCAGGGGGCGGTTCAAGGGGGAGCCTTTGTGATCAGGGGCTCAGAAATACAAATTTACATTTTAAATGACCAAAATATTCACTGAAATCCAAGATTAGGCAGTCCGAAAATAAAATATAATTCGTAGTCAAAAAAAAATTTCGCAATGATAAAACAAATCAATTTTGAAGAAATAAATAATAATTATAAAATTTATAATATATATTTTTATCAACAAAATTTAAGGAAAAGCGTTTTGCCACTATTTAATAAACACTTTAAAAACTCCAGTTAAATCTTAAAATTAGTTGAACATTGAAAAATATTGGATAACGTATTTTTAGGCAAATAAAAGTTATACACATCGTATACAAAAATTTCGGTGGGGATCCAACACCCTTGGAGAGTCCGCTCCTGTGCGGCGTTTTTTAGGTTAAATGGCGGCTGCAGGCAGCGAAACAAAAACTGTGATGCCGGCGCTGCACGAAACGCAGCTGTGTGTATGTGTAGGCGGCTAATATATATCAGAGTGTAGAGAAATTGAGATTTCGCCGACTGCGAGCCCCCCATTGAGTCCCGTTTTACTATTGGCACACATACATGCACATATGCAGGCGAAAAATCGACTTTGGGTGTGGGCACTTCCAACTTTTGACGGTGCAAGCCAAATAAAGTGCTGTAACTATATCTATCTCTTCGCTTACTTTTATTTGCCAGCGCCGCAAAGTATACCACACCAATTTTCAGGACTCTGACGAAAAAAACTGGAAAATTTCCTTCGTTGCAAATGAGTGTTTCAAAACTAAGTTTAGCACGCACACACTAAGGGGTTTTAAACTGATTTCGATGTATTTTAAACACTACGTGCATGTACAAACGAATGTACATTTGTGGGCGCCGTGTCGTGAGTATGCAATAAGTGTGTATTTTTTGTACCGATATACAACAATTCAGAAACGACGACAATACGACGAGAATCAAAAAACACAACTTGCTGGAGAGTGCAAAACTAAATGATTAAAGTGTTCGATTGCCGCCAGGATAACTGCAGCCAGGACCCGCGACGCAGCAGCGCTGCCGCGTCGCGGTCGTCGGCTGCAGCAGCAGCTCGTCCTCCCATTGGCGTACAGTTGAGTACGGTTTTGAAATAGGGGGTTGGGGGAGCGGTAGAGTTTTTAGTGGGGAGAGGGGCCAATGCACAGCATAACTGCGTAGTTGTGCACTGGCTGAACAGTGGGGCAGAAAACAGATTTGCGGATAGGGAACTAGAATCGAAGCCGGGATTACTGATTACGATTTTTGGTTTTATTTAAGAACATTCGGAATTCTCTAATAATTTTGGCTATTGTTGACAAACTTCCCACATACAAGTATTATCAATTTTTCAATCAAATCTCGAATTTTGGGACCAGTTTTTGGGGCCAGTTTGCAATGCAAACTTTTTATCTATGTACATATGTATGTAAAATTAAAAAATACATTTTCTACATTAAAAAATGAATTCTTTAATTCTATGAGCGGCCAGGACTCTTTGCTTAAAGTTTTCCAAAGGAATATGTTAGTGTTATTATGTTACAATTTTTTTTTGGTCTTACTACACAAGTTGCCCCATTGTACCCCTCGAAAATGGGCGAAGAGGAAGAATACAAAGTCAAAGGAACTGCAAATAATAAAAAGCTGCAGCCGCAAGTTGCGCAGGCTGCAACAGCTCTGGCAACATAACGGTACTCGCTCTCTCTCGGCTCGGCTCTTAACCGATGTACCCTACATTTCGCCTTCGCCAAAACATAAACAAGGAAATGCAGCCGTGAACACGAAACGAATTGCGGTAGGTTCTCCATTTAGGAGAGAGCGAGCCCCAAAAACAGTGAAAGAGCCAAGAACCGTAAGCCGGCTGAGAGCCAAAAAGGCACCCAAACAAACACTTAAACAACAACAACCACGGGGCAGCTGACTGAAAGTCCATGGAGGTGGTAAGAGGGGCTTGGCAGCTATTGAGAGATATATAAAGAGAGAGAGCTTGGGAGCGGGAGCTCAACTTGACATCATTTGTGTCAAAAGACCATTGAACTCTGCGAGCGGGATGGCCCAGCTAAACCCCCAACCCCTCCGCGGTGCCCGCAAGTATGCAACAATCCCTCGCTCTCCTTATTTATGTGGTTTGTTTTGTTGCTGTTTGCGCACAATAACAAAAGCCCACCCACCCAATCGTACGCATTCATTTATGCTTCGCCTCTGAAGCCCAATGCTTTCCAAACTACCGGTGGATGCAATGCGTCTAAAACTTAACGCTCTTTTAAATACTATGCGCCAATTACCGACAAAATTTCAGTATTGCACTTTGTCTTAGGGCGCTGATATTATTGTAAAGTCTGAAATGTTTTTCGAATTCTCGTAAATATTGTTAGTTAGGTATACATTTTTTTCACCTTACCTTACGTTTGATTGTTTATTTGCCTGAACGGAGGCAGGTGATGATTGATATAAGGGGCACTCCTGGATTTCCTGAAAGGTCCAAGGTACTGACTCTTAATATTCCCATGAGGAACTGGCGGATGATGTCCGGTTAGAAATTGATGATTTCCTGGTTGGTTTGTTCTAAACGGCCGGTTTTGGAAATTCCTGTTTGGGTTCCACTGTTGATGTGGATAAAAGCTTCGATTACTAGAATTTGTAAGTGGCTTTGCGCGATTCACATCTTGGTGGAAAGCTGCTGCTGATCTGTCTGGAACTGTCCACTGCTGGGGACTTCCAGAATTCCAATGGGTCAAAACATTTCTGGCTTGCCCGTTTTGCAATATATTTTGGTTAGTAACCACGTGATCGATTTTGAAACTCCCGATTTGGGTTGTTTGGTGCATAGTCGATGATAGAACTGGATGTTTCCAGGGCTGTGGATGATATGAGTTTGGCAGCGCATTGAGGCGCTGAAATCTGTTTTCCGAGAAACCCATCGGGCCTGAAGAGCTTGGTCCGTGAGGAATGCCCAGGCCGTGTTGCTCGATATTTTCACAATTGAATGAAAAATCTTTGGAGACTTCAACCTCCATATTGACGGCGACCTCCTCCTCACTGGTGCACTCAGAATGCTGGCCCATAAAGCGGCGTTTTCTTTGACGATTGGTAGCAGAGTCCATAGTTTCTGGTTCCTTTCTTTTAAAGACTGAAATTTGTGCCAGCACCTTAGAACGTTGGCGTTGTGCCCGCCTGCTTTTACTGCGACTATACTTTAACGATTTGTCTACATGCACAATGTGCTCCTGATTGGACATTGTTTGTGGTAACTTTTGATCCAATGAATTGGCCAATTAAGTTACTTATTCACAACATCCGAACAGAAAACGTGGAACAATAGTTCCAAGAATCCACGCTGCAAGCTTTTCGGTGTTGCAAAGCGAATCTAACACTTTAGGCTGAGTTGGCAGCACAGAAAGATCATTTGGTGGCTTACCAACACTACTTGTCAAAGTAATTTGTATTAACCGGGTATAAAGGATTTTTACTGATTATTTTAAATTATAATTGGGGCCAAAAACAAAAGGTTAATCAACAAAGTTTAACATTTATCAAGAAATGATGGACTTTTAATTTGGGAAAAATTAGTTTTAGAATAATTTTTAAAAAGGTATATTGATATTGTGATATATCTAAAAGCACTCAATAAAGTCGTGCACATTTAAGGACTCGACTTTTACAACTCACCACCCCTGAAGCTGGATAATAAAACCATAGAATGAAATGTAAATGTTACAATTTTTGATGTTTTATTTGTTTGATTTATCAACTACTGTTACGGTAATTGCATATTAAATTGGTTGTTTCTGTTTGTTGTTGCTTAAACTTTAATAAGTGTACTTGGTTTTAGCTGCGGCTGAATTTAATTATATTTGTACAAAATATATATTTACTTCTAGTTTTTTTTATGAACAACTTGCTGTTTTGCATTTATTTTGGTTTTCTTCTCGCGTTGCCCTTCAAATGTTCAGCTTAAAACTTAATTCTGTTGGTTTTGCTGTTCGATCTGTCTGTTTGCTTTGTTTCACTACAATAACGCTTAACAAAATATAATTATTAACTATTACTAGGCGCGTTTCGTTTGTTGTTTTGTTGTTACTGTTCTTGTTGTTGTTTGTCGGTTGCTTATTGCTGCAAGTTAATCTTGTCGTTTTGAAAAAATTTTAACTATAATTTCTACGTCGGTTTAGTTTAATTCATCGTGTATATATATAAAAATATATATATTTATATATCTTTATATATACCCATATATAAGTGTGTATAAATACGCATGTAATTATGTTTAATTTAATTATATGCATGTGTATGTGTCCGTGTGTTCCTGTCTACATAATTGTATTATTTACAGCGTTTTAATTATTAACAATACATATGTATGTGTATTAATTTATAATAATTACACTTAGTTGCATTGCACAATAAAATTGCGCATATTTCTCCATCGGCATTCTTCAGTGGTAACTTAAAATTTGTCTATAATTTAAATGTTGGTTTTCCATTTCCATTGTTGAATGCGAATGCTTTTGTTTCCCCAGAACCGTTATTATTAATATTTTAATAATCATTTTAATTTTTTTTTGCTTTCCGTTTTGTTTTTCGTTACATTTTTACTTTGATTTTCGTAGTTTTCGATTTTTCTATATGCCAAAAATGAGTCAACAAGAAAATTCTGAGGGCGTAACTCAACGACCTCATTATCTGTCCATTATGATCATATGTCTACCGTCCCATCATATCCAAAATCCTGCCGACCGAAATCGGCTTAAAGTAGTTGACATTATTCCGTTTTTGGCGTTTAAAAATATATTTCTTGTATATCGGCGGCTATATGTACAGCTTATATATATCTATTTCAAGGGCAAGTCTATTTCGATTGATTTTTAACTCGTTTAAGTCTACTAATGCACTATTAGTTGTTGCGTCTGTGTGAGAGTTTTGAGGCACCCATTATGAATTAAATCGAATATTTTGTGGACAGGCTGAGGTTGTTGGTGGGGCAAAACAAATAAAAACCAAACAAAGGATACATTTCCATATATATATTTGAAATATATATTAATATATATATATGTATATATATATTGTTTTCATTCATGTATTTTGTTCTAAAAACGTGTTGTGATTGCTTTTTAAGAAATTAATTTAAAATTAATAAAATAGTTGCATTAAACATAATTCATATTGAAATATTACAAAGAATTTATAACTATAACTTTTTTCTTTATATTGGCGATAATATATATGTTTATATTTGCTAACATTTTTCCTTACCAAGTCTGCAAAGCAAAATTAACTAAAACTTAAACAATTTAAAAAGCCGTTCCTCCTCTGTACGCATACGAAAACAAAATTCAACTAAAATGTTTGTGTTTTTTTTTTTTTTTGGTGAGACTGGAAAGGGTTGGGCTGGATATTTGTTTTTCGAGCTTACAGACTAGACGTATAGCTAATATAACTTGTAATGTGTGTTTGTTTGTTTGTTTTTGTTTTTTTTTTTCGTTTGTTGTAATATCAATTAAAACTAGGCATAAATATAAAGCTTAACATGCTTAAAACAATTGAAAATTGAGCATAAGGAAATAAGTAAATGGTGTGCATACACAAAATACATACAGATAAAAATTATAAATTAATAACAAATCATTTCTTGTGTTGTTGTGTTGTTGTTTTTTATTTTTGTTTTTGTTGTGGTTATCTTCGTTTTGTTGGAAGGTTGTTGGTTTCGATTTCTTTTCTTTCGTTACTCCTTTGTTGACTAACTAAATTAGTAGCTTGTAGTAGATAATAGTTGCTAATTTGGCCTGACTTTCATTTAGACACGTTTGGTGGTCTTTCCGTCTGCATCTCCGTTTGCGATTCCGTTGCGTTTGCGGTTGATGATGGTGCCGCTGTCGCTACTGCGACTGATGCGACTGATGCGTCGGATGCGACACGGCATCCCTGAGCGTCTTTAGACCCGCCTGCACATACCGGAACACCTCGTGCATGGTGCTGTGCAGCGTTAGCGGGCCGTTCTCGTGATCCAGTTCGCGGAAGAAATCTGCAGCGATTGGATATATCAAAATTGAGTTGATTATCAAAATGCGGTTTCAACTAACTCACCTATATGATTGCCTGAGCGTACCAATCGATCGGCTTGATCCCACAACTCGTGAGCACTACTCACATAATTTAGATACTCATTTTGCTTGCTCAGCTGATTGTGTACATCTTGAGGCACTATTTTGCCTGGCGGCGTATTCGAACCGGAGCCCTGTAATGTTGCCATTAAAAAATGTTTAAATTAATAATGATCCTTGGATTGTTAGCTGCTTGGGGGTAACTTACCTGCGAGCCTACCGAATTCGATGGTGATATGGAGGACGGCGTATTGCCGTTCACAATGTCCCGGCCAACACGAAAGAAATCCGTGAGATTGGCACAAATGGCGCGACAGTTCACTCTCCGTAGTTTAAATAACTTTAGCGATATCAACGATTGGCAGCGCAAACTGTTAAAATAAGTTTAAAGTAAAATAAAATAAACGTGAATGTTGGTTATTAATCTGAATTATCTAAAGGACTATAACCTTGTAACTTGCTTTTAAATACACATTTTACATACAACTGCGGTCAAAATAATACTCGTTATTTGGCTTCTCAAAATAAAAATAAAATAGCAATAATTTCAAATTTTATTTAATGTTTTCGTGAAGCTAATACCATAAAATAAAAGGAACAAATATAAAATTAAACATTTATAATAGCTACATATAACTTTTATGGTAAATTTATTTTAATACAAAGTGTGGGTGATCAAGGATTTATGATTATTAAATTAAAATTTTATAAAATACTTAACATACAATGTATGGAGAAGTGAATTTAAGTGATTTATGAACAGTTTTCATGTTCTTTAAAACCTAAAACAATATCGAATGTTTTTTTCAACCCTAATTTTGTTTATTGGTGCGTATGTGGTTTAATGAAAATGTCCCACTGCTGTTTATTTAACCGCAACTGTATGTCTTAGCCCTTGCAAGAGTGTTAGACCTACCTGAGAATGGCCACTTTGTTGTGCGTTTCGTGCTGCCCGTTCGTTGACTGCTGGTAGGGGCGAAACTTGGTGGATATAAATCTGCAAAGTGAATAACAATAACATGTTAATGCTGATTAATGCTGTTCCGACCACTTCCGCAATGGTGGGCGCACAAATGTTGGCACACTTTACTCACTTAATTAGCGACAGGGTGTCCTTGTACATGGTGTAGGTGGCCGCCTCGGAGCTGCAGCGCTCCATGGCGTCGGCCGTCAGCAGAAAGTAGACAACGGCCTCCAAATACAAAGTGACCTGGTTGAAGGAGTCGCGCTCCGAGTCGGCGGCATGCTTTCGATTGATAGCCTCCTGCAGGAACTGATTGTTTTTTCTGTATAATAAAAGGAAAACTCAATGTTGTTAGTAATGTGGTCTAAAAATTGTAAAGTAAAAATATTGTCTTATTAACCTGTGATCGTCGCTGGGATGCTCCTCTTCGCGATCAAAGTAGGAGCGGTAGATGATTCGCGTGACGGGGGCCGGAGGCGGTGCTCTAGCTGCTGCCGTGGCAGTGGCCGCCGTTGACGTCACCATGGGCGGTGTCGTCTGCACGGCCTCGTTGCAGGTGGTTGGCGCTACGAGGGCAACGTTGGCCACTGTCGGCGGAGGTGGTAGCGGTGACATGGCCAATAGCTTTTTGCTCGGACTGCCATTCGCAGCGGACACATCGCTGCCCACAACGACAGCGGCAGCTGCAGCGGCGGCGGCAGCGGCGTCCTCATGGAGCAACTGCAGTTTGTCGTAGGACAATCGATCATGGTTGGGCATTCGCTCGTGATTGTTGGAGGGCAGAAGCACGGCCACCGGCAGCAGCTCCTTGCCAATCTGCAGCTGGTCGGCCTTCTCCTTTTTCCGCTTCTTCTCCTTGTAGGGACTCGAACTGGAACTGGAGCTGCGTTTCCGCCGACGTCCGGGTGGCTGTTCACGCTCACGCTCGCGATCCCGTTCCCGCTCCCGCTCCCTCTCACGTTCCCTGTCCCGATCGCGCTCCTGCTTCAGCTGGAACTCCTGCTTGACGCTCGGCTTGAACTTGGCCTCATAGCCGGCGTCCAGTTCGGGCTCCGGTTTCACCGGATGCTCGTGCTTGACCTTGGTCGCCGAATTTGTGTCGCCGGCGGCATAGCCATTGGGCATGACATGAACCGCCGCCGCCGCTGCTGCTGCTGCTGGTGTCGTCTGTCCCTGCTCCTTGGGCGTTAGATGGCCATTCTGCTGGGCGGGCGTTAGTTTCTTGAGGCGCATGATGCGCTCTCGCGAGAGTTTGCTTAGATCGATCTTGCAGATCAAAGAGGTAAGATGTGGTGTGGTTGTTCTCGCCGGCGAGGCCAGACCGGCGCCCAACTGTTGCTGCTGCGTGGGCGTGGTCATGCGGGCTTTTGCCAGCACAGCAGCGGCAACTGCAACTGGTGGCTGTGCCACCGCATCCAGCTTGCCCTGCTGCTGCTCCTCCTGCAGGTCCATGATCACCACCTGTCCCTGCTTCTTGGCGCCGCCCTCCTTCGGATTGAAGATCCTTGCCAGCGTATTGATCTTGTTCTTGTCGTTCTTGGGCTTCCGTTCGCGCTCCTTCTCGCGCCGCGCCTCATCCTCCTCGCCGCTGCTGCTGCTGCCGCCGCCACCGCCGCCTCCGCCGCAGCCTCCGCTGGACGAGGAGCACTCGGAACTGCTCAAATGCTGGCTGTGCTGGCTATGCTGGCTATCTGGTAGCTGTTTGAAGAGCGGCATATGCTGCGCAAGCGACTGCCCACTTCCGCCCACTTGTGTCCTGGCCAGATCCTCCTGGTCGCTGCCACTGCTGCTCGGCGAACTGCTGCCGCTGCCCGGCAGCGCCTTCGGCGGCACGGCGCCCGTCTTGTTCAGCTTCACAATGCGGCAGTTGGTGTTCTGCGTTTCCGTGTCGTCGCTGCTGCTCGAGGAGCTGCTCGACTTGGAGCTGGAGCCACCGCTCGACGAGCTGTCGTCGTCGGAGCTGCTACTGGCGGCATGCACATCCTTTGGCTTGAGGGTGGGGGCGACCATCAGGGGCGTGGCCAGCTTCTTGGTGGGCGTATTGCCATTGGAGCTGCTCTGGCTGGAATGGTCGCGTTTCCTTGCCCTGCTCATGGCCAGCGGTGTCTTGGCCAGCGGCTTCTTGGCAGCGGTCAGCGTGGGACCCTTGGTCTGCGAACTGCTGCCGGCGGATGCACTGCTTAGGTTGCCACTGCCACCGCTCTGCTGCTGTTTCCGTGGTCGTCCACGTCCCTTTTTCACCGTATCCACCGCGGGCTGAGCCTGAACGGTAAGTGCCGAATGCTCCAGACCAGGATGCTTGGGCAGCGGCTCGTCGTCATCGCTTGAGTCCAGAATGGGCGCACTGGTGACCGCTTTCTTCTTGCGCGGCTTCTTTTGCCGCTGCTTCGGCGATGTGGGCAGTGGCAGGATGGGCGTCAGCGTAACACTATTGCTCGCTGGTGCCTTCTGTGACTGTGACGTCGGCGGCACTCGCATAACCGTCGTGATGGCGGCTGGAACGCCGGGCAGCTGAAGCGTTTCGCCGGGACCCGGCATGGGCACCACCTCGCCACCGGTCGCACCACTATCAGAACTGCTGCTGCTGCTGCTGCTCGACGAGCTGCCACTGGCACTGGTTCCGGAATCCGAGAGGCGGGCGGCGTTATGTGCCTCCGCCGACTCGCGTTTGATTTGGTTTTTTGGTATCGCCGCGCCAAGTGCCATTTCCGATACGGCATCGATGGCCTCCTTTTTCACCGCCACCGGTGTGACACTCAGTCCAGTTCCATAGCGCATTTGCTGCTGCTGCTGCTGATGCTGCTGCTGATGCTCCTCGTCGTCATCCTCCTCCTCGCCTTCATCCATGGCCATGTGATCGTCGTGGATCTTCTCGTTCTTCACAATCGCCGTGGTCACATCGATGGACTCGGGTATGATTTGGGCACCACCTGGCAGAATGCCCGGTACCTTCATGCTCACATTTCCGGGCGAGACGCTTTCGGAGTTCGTCTGATTAGCTGGTTTGTGGAAAAACCTGCTTAAAGTCCACTTGTTGCTCTCCGTTGGCGATGGCGTTTTGTTTGAGGAGCTGCCTCCGCTGCTCATCGTGCCACCCGATCCACTTCCTCCAGCGACGGAGGCATTGGAGTTTGCACCGGATCCCCCACTGCCTCCACTGGCGAATCCACTGGAGCTGAGCAGTCCGGTTATCGTATTGCTGCCACGGGCAATGATCTCATGCCTAAACTTCTTATTCTGGGCCCCATTGGACGTAAGTGGTTGGGTCCGATGCTGTTGCTGCAGCACTTGTTGCTGTTGCTGCTGGATGGAAGTCTGCTGCTGCTGTTGCTGCTGCAGTTGTTGATGCGGCTGCTGGTGATTGGGATGGTGCTGCAGATCGTTCTTGCTGCTTGACTCGCTGCCCGACTCACTGGAATCCGACTCGGAGCTGTTGCTGCTGTTGCCCGCCGATCGACTAAGGGATTTTAATTAATTAATTAATTAATTAACTTATTCAATAATCACATAAGATCTTCGCTTACCCCTCCTTCTTGGGATCCTCATCTGACTCCGAAAGTTCGAGATCGTTTTCAAGGCTGTACAATAGAAAAACAAGTCGAGTTAGCTTGATAATTAAAGAATCTAAGACGGATCACATACCACGAGTCCTGCTTCTCCAGCGAGTGATTCTTTTCCGTTTTAAGTGGCTTGGCCAGTGCCGGTGATGTCACAACGGAGGCTGCCTTGGGCGGAGTGGGTGGCAGTTGATGCAGCGGCGCCAAAGCATCTCCTGCAGACGTCGTCACACCTGTGGCTCCGCCCAAAGGCAGTTGGCTAGCCTGCGGCGGTGTTGTCAACAGCGGGGCAATTGGCGAGGACATTGGCGCAATGGGCGGGAAGAGGGGCGAGGGTTCAGCGGAGGGCGGCGAGCCGATCATATCGATGGCATACTTTTGCTTATTGGGCGCCCCCAGATTATAGTTCTCACGCGTTGGCGCATGCGGCGTGGCTGCTATCGATGTGAGCGGTGTCACCCAAAAACTACTTGCTATATCGCTAATTATTTTGTTGACGTCCTTCTGCAAAGGTATAATAAAAAGTTAAGTAAGTAAGTAGCAAGATCTATGTAATTGTAAAGTTTGTAAACGATGCAGCGGCTAACCGATTTGTTCTGGGTTATATTATAAATCAGGAAGTCGAAAAACAACGATGTTATATCTTATACAATTTTAGCTAATGTTCGAAATGCCTTTAGAGTTTTTAACTATTTAGCTCAAAACGTTGTACTTGCAACCGCTGCATCGTTTACAACCAGTTCAAATAACTTTAATTTGTTCTTTAATTTGTCGAAAAACGATGTTATATTCTTATGCAAATTTAGCTAAAATTTAGAATTTTCAACTATTTAGTTCAAAACGTTGTACTTGCAACCGTTGCATCGTTTACAACCAGTTCAAATAATTGGTTCAAATATGTTACCTCGGGAGGCGGCGGCTGCTGACCCGCTCCTGGTCGCTTGCTGACCGCTGGCGGCACAAAGCGTCCGCCGGTGCCGTTGTGCAGCGTTGGAGGCGGCGGTCCAAGAAAGGACTTCTCCCGCCCATTGGGCATCTGGGTGGACAGAGGTGGCCCCAACGGCGTGCTGGCTGGGATTCCGCCGCTACTGCTGGCGTTGTTTGTGGCGCTGGACGAGTTGATGTTGTTGTTGTTGTTGCTGCTGGAACTACTGGATCTGGGCGGGCCGCGGGGCGGGGCCATGCCACTACTTGACGGAATGTCGTTCTTCATTGGCTGGCCCGGATAGCCGCCGCGTCCATTGTACGGCGGCTTGTTGTCCGCCTGCTTCAGATACGTGGGCGGTCGCTGCTGTTGCTGGTAGTGTTGTTGCTGCTGGCCGGGCAGCCCTGATGTGGCGGAGGATGCGGACGTGGATCCGGCTGAGGCGGAGGAAGGTGAATGCCCAAGGGACTTGCCTTGCTGCGGCGGCAGTGGCGCCTGCAGGCGCGGACTGCAGGGCGCAATTCGACTAATCCCCACCGCCATCTGATTAAAGTACTCCCGCGCCACGCCGAACTCGCCCAAAGCGGCCGTAATGTTCGCATCTCCTTCTGTCAGCCGCCGCGGCTCGCCGAATAGACTAGTTTCCCGATCGTCGATCTGTATGCCCTGTTGTCGCTCGATTTTCTCACGCTCACGTCTTTTTCGCCGCTCGTACTCCTCCATACTGCAAAAAGATTAAGAACTGATTAATGAAATGTTTTAACATGCATTTATTTGCCTTTATCGCTGGTTTCTATTTTTTGTTTGTTTCATTAGTTTCTCGGTTTCAGTAACAACATAAATTATACAGCAAACAAACATCACAGGAAACACAACAACAACGACAACAACAAACATGAGGCGTACAAACAGCTTCGGTTTTGAAAAGGATTCGTCGAGGATAAACATTTTGTCATGCATTGCGTGCCTTAGACTCCACAAACACTTAAGCCGTCCACAGATTAAATGGTCAAAAAGTTATTTCCTAGAAGTTTTGTTAGTCGTCCTTTTCAAGATTGAACGGGTTATAAATGTGGTCAATATGGTTCACGCATTAACGATATTTGCTTCCATTATTATCTTCGCTTTAATAAAAATTAAATTACAAAAAATTATAAATTTCTATATAGACAAAAAAAGACTATCTCGAACATTTATTAATATTTTAGGCAATTTTTCGGCACCTTTTTTACCATTTAGAAAGAATGTTTTCGCCTCACCTTTCCCAATTTGATTTTTTTGTCAACATTGACCCATTCTTATGGACATCGGTGTTGTTAGGTGCCAATAGTTTGACAAGCATACGATAGGTGTCATCGGTTAGACATGCACACACGCAAGCAAAGTTTGATGGCTATGAAAGCGTTGTTTGTTTTTAAAACAGGGGGAAGCGGCAGGACTCTTAAAACTGTGCAAATGTTTGCATTTGATTTTGTCTGGTTTTTAAGTCTAGTAGTAGTGGTAGTGGTGCAGACATGCTTGAGAACACAACAAATAAATAGATGTATATGTATGGACAGCGACGAAGAGAGGGGACAGAGACGAAGACAAACACAGACAGAGTAGAGTGCAGTGACTCTAAAACTTACTTATAATTTTGGCTATACAAATTGTTATTGTATTGCTGTAGTTGTTCTTGTTGTTGTTGTGGCTGCTGGTGCTGAAGAAGGAGAATGCTGTTGTTGTTGCTGTGATTTTGCTGTTGTTGTTGCTGCTGCTGCTGTTGTGCCATAACGCGCGCTTAGTACAAATAAAATAATTAAATTATCCTCAGCTGAGAGGGCACACACAGACAAGCAGACAGTCACACGCACACAGCCAAAAAATGGGATGGGGAAAGGGCGGCGGATTGGAAGGGGAATTGTGTTAAGCTAAACTCCTCCTTTCTTCTCCTCTCGCTCTATAACTATCTCGCTCGATTGCTCGCTTATGTTATCGTTGTAATTTTGCGACGTTGTAACGTCGCTTTGTTGTTGTTGTTGTTGTGGTTGCTGTTGCAATCGCAATTGCAATTGTTGGTGCTGTTTCTGTTCTTGTTGTTGCTTCTCTTGGCTTGCTTTTGATTTTGCGCTTGCAACATTTTGGTACTCTGCAGTTTGACAAGCACTATCGTTGTTGCTTTTCTGTTTTGCCTTTTTCTTTGGTTTTTGTTAGTTTTGTTTTTCTACACGCAGACTTTTCTCGTAAATGCTCAAATTGATTTGTTTGTTGGGGATTTTGATCGTATCTTATATAGTCTTTTATTGCTTGAGTACGTCGCTAAAAGTGTATGTGTGTATGTGTGTGTGTCAGTAGGAAAAGTAAAGTTGCAGTACCTGAAAAACAGAGCAGAAAGAAGAGAACAGATTAGTGGCCTACTTCTCAGAGCAATTTAGATAATCTACATGGTGAAATTATAAGTTATAAATAAATATATTAGAATACATAAGTAGTAAGGTTTTCTGTATTATCATATTTCTAGTAACCCTTAATGTACTTTTTCAAAAAGTTTTAAAGTGTATTACTCATACGCATTGTAGTCTATAAATTATTAGAAGTTTTTGTTACAAATATTTATCTTATAAATTTATAAAGTTCAATTGAAATAGGATAATACTAATAAGAAACCAAAATTATTATTACTAGCAGAATTAATAAAAATAGCATTGCTTTATTACCAATTGAGTTGTTCTAAGCTTAACAACTTCTGAGTAGGTTCACCCCAAGGCCCACGCATAAGTGCTTGTATCAGGCAGCAGTGAATGTCACTTGCCTTCTCATTATGCAAACGGAAACCCAAACCTCCGAACCGCCCACATATGGCTACAAGGATTATGGTCGAAGCGCGTCACAATCCTGTGTGTCCTCAGTTCTCAGTCCTCAGTTGCCGCCGTCATTTAGAGAACTTGCCACAAGAACTGGAAGATGAGAGCCAAGGAACTGCGGCATCTGCTTGGCTTGGCTTGGAGTGCTGCGCTTAGATTCACTTAACCCGAGACTGGCAGAGGACAACGATGTCCTTTTGGGCGTATTCTTATGGAAAATTTGCAACTTGAACTGCACAGGTTGGGCGAAGGTTTCCTTTTCACTTTCAATTAAGCATAAGTAACAACTTTTTCTGTTGTCTATATAGCGCTTTCAATCATCATTAGCCAAGAAAATAAAAGCTAAACAGTACTATTGTTTTTTAATATTTAAACAGCTATTAATCATACTTGAAATATAAAAAAAGGCCAAAAACGTATTTAATTGTTTGCTCTTCTATGAACATATTTTCTATTCTTAGCTATTTACACCCTTTAGCCATATCTTAATGGATACGCTTAGGGAATTTTTTTCTGACACAATGTACTTTTTATTTATGAATGAAAAACGTGTCAGTTAAATTAATTTTTTGGTCATAAGCAACAGACGCAGCAAGTTGACCCTTTCTTGTTTTTTTCTTTTTGAACCACTCACAACTCAGTCAGAAAAAGGGACAGACAGAATGACTGACTGAACGCGAGAGGAGTAGAGTAGAGTCACAAATCTGCTGGCTTTGGGCATTCACTTTTATGTGTTTTTGCTGCTACAATTTATTTGTCTTATAAATTTTGTTAACATCTCAACTGAAGGAGAACCAGAGAGACAAACATTTAATTATTTTATTTCGGCAGAACTTTTTCTACCCCCACACCACCACAGTGCTTGCAAATAGTTTATGTACGTCACCGAAAATAAATGGAAGTCGAGTCCCCGCAGCAAAAGCTTGACAAACTTTCAGATGTTGGCTCTGCTGGGCCGCCTTTTTGGTTTCTGGCTATTGCTTAATTTATATGTATTTGTATGGCTGACTGTCCAGGACAAAACCACTGAACTCATCCACTGAACGCCCCATCCCAAAAAACCACCCAAACCTTTCCCGTCCTCTGTGGCTGTTTTAATGTGCGTCCATTTAATCTAAAGCTACTATAATTTGTCCTTTTCAGCTCTCCCTGTGTGCGTTTGTGTTTTTGTTTGTGCGTTTGTGCGTTTCGGCATTTTGTATATTTGCATTTTGACTTTTGCTTTAGACTGGGGCTTGCAATTTCAGTGTCGGCATTTATAAATAATTTTCATAGAGCATTCAAATGGATAGTAAGAGAAACTAATCTAAAGCTTTAACTTGTTGTGAAAATACATACGTATTTTGTTACGGATAAATCGGTTATTAAGAATTGAAGTCCTGATAAATTCAGGTTTTAAAAATTTAAAACTGATCACTTTGAGGATAAAAGCATATCGTACTCTGTGTTTTCTTTTTTGTACTTACTTCTTTGTTTTTAAAACATGTAAATATTTTGATTTCATATCTAAAGAACATCGTTTAATCTGGTTTGTTAAAATTGAATATAGATAGAAAAGCTGAGTAAAAGTAAAAAAGAAAAAAAAAAAAAAAAAAAAAAAGTAAGCACCGGTGATGATGAACCTGCCTTGAACCCGAAATCATATAAACTTTGTTGTTTACTAAGTGCACACAGAAAGAAATTGGAAGCCTATGTTCAAAGAATTTATTTACAATTTAATTTTTTTAATTTAGTTTTATGGATATCACTATGTTTAGTTCCTTGACAAACAAAATTGTTTTCTAGTTTTTTCTTTAGTTTGTGTTTGTTTTTTACGTCATTTTATTGATTGGTTTCCCAGTGCAGACTCCAAAAGAGGCAAGTTCACACTCAGAGGCACCCGATGACGCCTGTGCTGGGGCATATGTTATGAATTTTATGCAAATATGTTTCAGGAGAGTGGTCCCCAACACCCCATTTGGCACTTCCATTCTTCCTTGCCAAAGTTTAGCACAATTCGCGACGTTATAAATTCTTATTTGTTTTGTTTGTCGTTTTCCAGTGGGTTCGCTGCTCTATTAACATTTAAATCGCTTTTGGGGGTGTTAACAAAAATAAAAAAAAAAAAACTGGGTGTTGTTCCTATAAATGCTATGCTAAGAAATGTTCAAGTAAGAAGTTTTAATGGAAAATTGTTTGATAAACGAAAGAGTACCTAACTTATGGGTATATTGTTTGATTTTTTGTGTTGCTTTTTTTCCATTTTTCTTTCCGGTACGTAGATCACTTTATAATCGTAATTTTTTGCTTTACCAGTCAATAAGAAGTTTGTTGCTTTGTTACAAGACGGGCAGGGCAAGAGAATAGTTTTTTTATATGGTTTCGTTTTGATGATCCTTAATGGCAATCAGGTTCACTTCATTCATGGCTGCTGCAGCATGCTCATCGTGAATCATTTAACAACATGCACAAACATTAAATTACGCATGGAATTCCTTTTAACCGAGAGCGCCCAGAAAACCCAGAGAACCCAGATCACCCCGACACAGGCAATGGAACACAAGACACAAGGCACAAGACACAAGGCTCGCCTCTTGGCATAGAAAATTCAATTCAATTCAAGGGGCGCAGGCGACAGGACAGGCACAGGACGAAGGCAGGATGAAGACCAAGGCAGAAACGAACCAACGAACGAACACATGCGACTAATTTCATATTCATATGCATATTTAGACTAACTACCAGCCGAGGGAGGTGGTGGCTGCAATACAGAGCCGACGAGTGCACAAGATGATGACGCTGGGACAGAAAAGAGCTGTGGCATAGAGTGGGCTAACCGGCAAGGAAAGGAAAGCAAAAGGCAGTCACTGCACACATTGGCACGCCTAATTTATAACACAAAAGTCTACTTAACTCCCCTATGGAAACTACAAGCAGCGATGCCGCCGCTAAGCCGCCAACTGGAGAGGTGAGCATAAAAATAAAAGGAATCTATGAGAGCCACTTTCGTTGACCGAAGCATTAAATACCCATGATGATGTCTATTTAATGTCCAGAGGATAATATCTCTTATAACCCACAAAAGTATGTTATAATTCTACGATTACGTATACATAAGATTAAGATTTGATATTAGTGAAACCATTTATTTAATGTTTTGTTCACGGTTCAAATATAAAACACTAATAAATCGAGTTTTGATTTTATTTTTTACACAATTAGTTTCCTCCTGAAGAATTTATTATTAAATGTCAATCAATTTCACAGAAGTAACTTTTTTGTGTGCTAATCTAGGTGTTCTTTCAATAAAAGCCACCATTTCTTTTTAATATGTCCAACTAAATTAGAATACCTTTGACAAGGGTATTCTGCCGCGAAGAGGAGGCAGATAGCAAGATAGCAAGAGGGGGGAAAGAAGCTAGGCGGGGGTATGAATTATCCCCATTTTGTTGGGCAGTGCATAAACAAAGCCAGGTCTGCTCTCCTCGGAGTGTGACTCGGGGTGTGTGTATGAGTGTGTGTGTGTGTGTGTGTGTGTGTGTTGGACAGGATTTATTATCAAATGGGCGCCATAGACTAACGACCATAGCCACAGTTGCCTTAACTCACCGTGTGTCCCCTGCTGCCATCACCCTAACACCCCAACACCCCATTTCCCATTTCCCCACATCCTGCCCGCTTTTCCACAACTCACACAGCCCTTGGATGGCACCGAGCACAGTACTTTCGTATGTCTGTATAAGCAGAGTCAACAAATTTTATGGTAGTCATTAAACTTTCTTTCAGCAAAGCGCCTCAAACTCGAATTCAACTTCGGTCTTCACTCGGTTTAGGTGGGTTAATTTATATCTTTAAGGTCTTCCAACTGCCGAGAGTGAAAGAGATAGTTTGTGTCTCTGGCCATGGGTTGGAAATTTATTTAATTAATTTGTGCAGTTTAGCTTTCGGTCGAGTGTAAAATCAATCTGTTTACCGAAAATTTTAAGGCTTAATAAATTGAATAACATGTTAGCTAAATGCATAAATTGCTTTTAAATATTTCTTTAGGAATTTAATATCACTTTTTTAATTTATTACTCAAAAGCCAATGTCAAGTCAAATTAGTGTCGTTTAATTGAAAGCTTTAACCTACTGTTAACAATTGGCTGCACGCTATATTGGGCATATTATTTTACAAATAGAAGGACAAATTGTCTACCAATTAGCCTTGTTTGATTTGATTCGAATTGCCTACTTTTTTGGATGCCTGCCGTTTCCAATCAATTTCATATACACACGCATTTCAAAAGCGTGTTTGTGTGTGTTAGTGTGTGGATTGGCTTTGTTTCTGTCAAGTTTGTTTAATTTGCATGGATATGCAAACGTATATACATAGTGGACAGACTATTATCTGCACATGCAGCGTTTATCTGCCGTCCGGACACCTTGACTTGTCCGGTCCGACGTACGGTTCGTTTGGCTTCCACCAGCTAGCTTTCAAATACAAACAGCTCTGCTGGCTTCATATTGATGCTGACGCATATTTCCTGCTT